AGAATGGCTTAAACAGAAGAAAATACACCTTCTGAAGTGGCCTAGTCAGAGTCCTGACCTCAACCCGATTGAGATGCTGTGGCATGACCTCAAGAAAGCGATTCACACCAGACATCCCAAGAATATTGCTGAACTGAAACAATTCTGTAAAGAGGAATGGTCAAGAATTACTCCTGACCGTTGTGCACGTCTGATCTGCAACTACAGGAAACGTTTGGTTGAAGTTATTGCTGCCAAAGGAGGTTCAACCAGTTATTAAATCCAAGGGTTCACATACTTTTTCCACCTGCACTGTGAATGTTTACATGGTGTGTTCAATAAAACATGGCAACATTTCATTCTTTGTGTGTTATTAGTTTAAGCAGACTGTGATTGTCTATTGTTGTGACTTAGATGATGATCAGATCACATTTTATGACCAATTTGGGCAGAAATCCGTATCATTCCAAAGGGTTCACAAACTTTTTCTTGCAACTGTATGTCTGTCTGTCAGTGTGTGTGTATCTATATGTCTGTCAGTGTGTGTGTATATGTCTGTCAGTGTGTGTGTGTGTGTATACGTCTGTCAGTGTGTGTATCTATATGTCTGTCAGTGTGTGTATGTATATGTCTCTGTCAGTGTGTCTGTGTGTATCTATATGTCTGTCAGTGTGTGTGTGTATGGCTGTCTGTTAGTGTTTCTTTGTGTGTTTGTGTATGTCTATCATTGGGTATGTGTGTATCTGTATGTCTGTCAGTGTGTATCTATGTGTCTGTCAGTGTGTCTGTATGTCAGTGTGTGTTTATCTGTATGTCTGTCAGTGTTTGTGTGTATTTGTATATGTGTGTGTATCTGTGTGTCTGTCTATCTGAATGTGTATCAGTTTGTGTATATGTATATCTGCATGTGTGTCAGTGTGTGTATCTTTGTGTATGTGTATCACAGTGTGTGCGTGTGTGGCAGTGTATGTGTATATGTGAATATATCTCAGCATTCAAACACCAACACTACACACAAATAAACACCTGCATGCAAACGTCAACACTACATACAAACACACGCCTGCATTCAAATGTCAACACTACATACAAACACACCTCTGTATCAGACACTAAAATTATATATAAACACACACCTGCGTTCAAAAACCAACACTACACATAAATGCATGCTTGCATTCAAATGCAAACACTACATACAAACACACCGCTGCAATCATACAAACATACTCCATACAAATACATGCTTACAGTCAAACACACAAATACTGCTCCATGCTAAATACAATCCTGCAAGCATGGGGAATCGGTAGAGCCCCAGCTTTCAAAGCATTGTTGAAGTTGCACGACAGATGGGGATCTATCTTTTAGCCATCCTGTGTACATACACAGACAGTCATACAGAGACATACAGTCTGTATGTCTCTGTATGACTGTCTGTGTATGTATTCAAAAGGAATAAACGCAGGGAACACTCTAATAGTAAGGATGGTATATTTATTGATAGGTGAACCACCCCAAAGAAAGTGCGACGTTTCGGCTCAGCAGAGCCTTATTGCATGAACTGAAACGTCACACCTTCTATGGGGTGGTTCACCTACCAATAAATCCTTACTATTGGAGTGTTGCCTGCGTTTATTCCTTTTGAAGACTTTACTGGTGGATCCAGCGATGTCCGCCTAACACGGAGCATCCACCACTGTTGATGGCCGGAGCATTTAAACGGTATCAGTGTGCAGGGTTCTTTGTTTGTCTGTGTATGTATGTCTCTGTATGCCTTGTCTGTATGTCTCTTTATGACTGTCTGTGTATGTATGTCTCTGTATCATTGTGTATGTATGTCTCTATATGCCTATCTCTATGTTTCTTTATGTCTGTGTCTGTATTTCTGTGAGTGCCTGTATGAATGTATGTCTGTGTTTGTACGACAATGTACCGGTATGTGTAGATTGTATGACTGTGTTTATTTGATTGTGTGCCTTTTATGACTGTGTGTCTGTATATCTTTGTGACTGTGTGCCTGAATAATTATGTCTGTGTGCTTGTATGGTTGTGTGTCTGTATGTTTGTGTATTTGTGCATGTATGTATTTTTTCCTGTATCTATATCCATGTGGGAGAAAAAGAGAGATAGATAGGGGCTGGGGGGAAGAAAGAGACAGAAAGGGGCTGGCGGGGAAGTAAGAAATACATAAGAGGGGTGGTAGGAGACACACTAAAGGGGGTGTAAGGCACAAAGGGGCCAAAGGGGTAAGATATTCAAGAGAGTGGATATGCAACACTAATGGGGGTAAGAAATTCAAAAAGGGGCTACGAGACACAGAGGTGAAGATGCATTGTTTATTTATTTTTTGGGGGGGGGGCGTCAAAATGCATCTTCGCCTGTGTAGTCAAAAATCCTAGCACCGTCCCTGGGTAGGCACAACCAATGGGTGAAGACATGTGGGCAGGTATAACCACTACTACAAAGCTGAGTCAGCCAATGCCCAGTCAATTCAGTATGGACTGTATCCCACAACGTGAGGAGGCAATGAGATTGTAGCCACATAGCATTGCAGAGCAGAACGTGAGGGCAGAAAGGCTTGTACTGAGCTCCACATCCTGCCAGTACCCCAAGTCTGCAGGCCCAGAAATTACCACGCAAGCCAGCAAATCCATGATGACTTTGAGAATGTCCAGCAGCAGGAGGAGAACTTGGAAAAGGCTGCAAGTTAACACGCATGGCTGCTGAGTAGTATTTAGTAATAAGTCCACCGATTGGTGGCAGGTAGGGTCATTAATTATACACTGAGAGGGCAGACATGCCATTGTCCATCACCTCCCAAGACTGCCATTGTCTTCCCTCTTCCGGGTGTCTATAGGTCCACAATCCCCTAGGCACCACCATTAATATGACAGTACTTATCCCCCTCACCCCAATAATAATGTGGGGGGCCAATAAAACTACTACCTCAATAAAAACAATTATAATAAATAAAGTATACTTACTATCAAAAGTCTTCTTTCTTGCAAATCTATTATTTTAAGCCCCCCAAAAAGGCTAGATAAAAAAAACATAATAACGCTACACAAGTATTGAAAAAACACTTTATTAGTTAAAAAAAATAAACAAAACCCAAAAACAACAATGCAAAATAAAATAAAATAAAAATAGAATATAAGCATTTCCTGCTTTGAAGTCTTATTCCTACGTGGAGCCCTAAAAATAGATGTACTTTTCTTGGCCAGCCGCCGCAAAGTTAACCCTCAAATTTAAAGAGATACTATAAGTGTCAGGAATACAAAGCTGTATTACAGGCACTATATCTCCCTCAGCCTCCCCCCTCCCTCTCGCCTCCTGACCCATGTTAAAAAAGCTTTATTTACTTACCCCAGCGACGAGGTCTCTCGGAGCTGGGTAGCGGCTCCGTCTCCTCAGATGCCCCGCGACGAGCCGTCGCTAATGCGCATCAAGTGTTGCACGCATTAGACCTCCTGATAGGATTCCATTGAATCAATGCGTTCCTACGGGAAAAATCTGACACTGGATGTCCTCATGTAGAGCGCGAGAACGTCCAGCGTCAGTTACCGGACCAAAGATCCGTTAGGAACCAGGAAGCTCCTCCAGTGGCTGATAGTTTAACATTGCAGCACTAAATGCCATAGGGACGCTGTACCCAGACCACTTCAATGAGCTAAAGTAGTCTGGGTGCCCTTTAACCCTAAAAATGCAATTGCATCTTGCCGCATTTGGTTCTGATTTTAGTTAAAATCAGTGGTTTGTGACTCTTCCGAATCCTATACTATAAAGTTCAGATGCAAAAGCCCTGATTTTATTTCGGATACCAAATTCTGACCGTATTTAGCTTTAATAAATATGAATATTTTTATTGCTGAAGAAATTTAGCTCTTTCAGGGAAAGAGCAGTAGGAGATGTGCAAGCTACCTTTCCACTCTTTTAACCTCATCTCCCCTTTCTCAAACATCTAACATAGCAAGGCGAAGCATTATCCTGACTGAGAGGGAGGGGCCTTTTTAATGGGAGCATTTAGCGACTGACTTTTGGTATTGGCTACCAGCAAGTCCCTGCCGCTACTTGTGAAATTGGTAGATGTTAAATTGCCATTACTTACTGAAAGTAGCGATATGTACTTTAGCAAGTAGCAGCTAGCTGGTAAACAAAATAGCAAAAGTAATGGAGCTACACCTGCCTTACTCCTGCTTAGGGCAGGTGTAGGATGTATACCCTATTTCCACACATAAGTTGCTTCCAGGGTTATTCACCAATGTGAGAATTCAAAGTGAATTTCGAATGTAAGGCATAAGTAGCTGAACTGGCTATTTTGACTTTAAATTTGAAATTCCCTTTAAATTCTCACTTTTGTGAATAACCCAGTTAGTCTATCTAAAATTAAATTTTCCTTCGCTATTTCTATGTTTCTCTATTCTTTTAACTAATTTTTTAATTGTTCAGAGATTTTTCTATGCCATCATAACTGATTAGCAATATACATTAGCAAATGACAATAGGTAAATTATCATTAACTTTTACCTTTTAACACCAGCCTTTAATAAACATCTCCCACTCATCCATCACATACCCTGCTCCATAATTCTACTCTAGTTCCTTGGTTTTGTAAAAAATCATATTGCTACCAATATATATTTTTTTCTTGTCTGCAGCCACCTACAACAGGACAGAGAAAAGTGAGATAATTTTTTTCCCCAATCCCCCATAAAAAAAAAAAGATACAGGGAAAACTTTTATAAAACGATAATTTTCATCACAATAACTATTTTCAGATGTATTTAAAAATATTAATTTTTTTCCAGCTTTAGAAAGACTGCAGCCCTCATTATTAAATGGTATACATTCACTTTTACATTGTCCTGTAAAAAATATTTTAGCCACTTTATACAATGTGGACAATTCTTAGAACTACTGTCTCAAATGACCACAACAAAGATGGCTGCTATCGACTTTGCCAACTAACTTAGAGTCGAAAAGAAATGACGTGTAGCGTGCTTTGTACTTCCGGGTCAGGGGTTGTCCATGTGGAGAGAGTGCGAAGCAAGGCATTACTGTGAGATCTGCAGATCTGGGCGAACTTTCAAACCAGTCTATCACATCACAAGGTAAATTAGACGAAATATATCGAGCTATCGAAATATAATTTTATTAAGCAATAAATAAATTATATTAATAGTAACACTCCCCATGGTATGCAGGCAGTCACTGTAGCACATCTTGGAGTAAGGCACGTGTTTAAGCTTTAGTGCAAGTTTTTATTTTCTAATCCCTCTACACGTTCTATTGAATGGTTAGTCTAGATATATCTTGAGCATATTTTTTGTATTATATGAAAGTTTAAATAAAAAATATTGCAAAAAAAATAAAAAAGTAAATTAAAGTTTCTCACCTGTTGAAGTAACCCATGTATCTCGCTGTTTAGGAGGTATAGCTCATTTTGTTTTATTTCTGGTGGCTTGTGCTATCCTGTTAATGTCAGCTGGTGCTCTGAGCTAATGAATGATGTACAAATCGTTAATTATATTGCTAAAGTGTGCCCTAGCAACCATGATTGATGCCATTTTGACCCAGGAGTCACACAAAAAAAAAAAAAAAAACCCTATCAGAAATGCTAAATCACTTATCCTTTGTTACAAATAGAATGTGCAAATACAGTGTTTTTTTTTTTTTATATATATATCCTTCTATGAGTTTTACACAAGGAACACTAGGGTTATCTCTTCAGGGTTATCTGTGTTGATGGTTAAAATTACACTGTAGGCACCAAAACCACTATAGCTTATTGTAGTGGTTCTGGGACAGAGATTACACAGCTCGGCCTGCAGGGACAAACAGTGACTTTTCTGAGAAAACGCCGTGTTTACATTGCTGCCTAACTCTACCAACTCTGACAGCCACTAAAGGGACTTGATTTGGTCCTGCAAAGATTGTAGAACTGACATTCAACGTTTCCATGTCACAAGGACAGCCCATTCTGCATTATTAAACCTGGCCAATGAGCATCTCCTCATAGAATCAATGCATATCTATGAGGAAAATCCAGTATCTTCATGCAGTACAGGAAGCACCTCTAGTAACCATCTGAGGAGTGGCCACTGGAGGTGTCTCTAGGTTGCAATGTAAACACATTTTCTCTCTTTTTCTCTGAAAAGACAGTGTTTACTGCAAAAAGTCAGCAAGACTGACTATACTTATCAGAACAAATACAATAAGCTGCAGTTGTTCTCAGTCCAAGCACCATAACCACTATGTCCCAGAGTAAGATGTCAAACTGTTTTAGACTGGTTTGCCAATGTACCTGGTCATGCCAATACCACATCTGTTATCCTCCTGCAGAAGAAGCCATATGTCTCTGTAGAGTAAAGGACAGTAGTTGCAGAACTCTACAACTCGTCAGTTGATGATGACTTTTTTTTTTTTTTTTATTAAAATATATTTATATACTTGTATTGTTGTTGTTCTCATCATAGAAAAGTCAACGGCTTGCAGAGATGACTTCTTTAGCTCACCAGCTTAAGCGCCTTGCACTCCCTCAGAATGATTCCAGTCTGTACAGTCGGAAAGTGGTTGCCTCCCTTCTCTATGATGCTGCAGAAGCTGCAAACATTGACCGAGAAACATTCTACGCATTAGGTAAGCGTTCTATTTATTTCTTGGTGTGGAGTAGGAAATTCACACTAAACATTACCACAGCTTTGCAGTATTACAATGTTTGAGGTGCACAGAGTACCCTGCACCTACTATCAACTCTTACAATGGCTTATATATTCCAGCCGCACAAAGCTAGCAATCAGCCAGCCAGAATTCTATCATGTTGTCTACCACTTTCAATGTTGTCTATGTTGTAACTGCACGTCACCAGCTTATTGAGCAGTTCTATTAGCTTATCTAGATGATTGTAGATGCTGAGGGGGTTGAATAAGATCACATCTGCTAGATCAGAATGAAAAATGTTTGGGGGGAGCCTCTTCCTGGTGACAGTGGGGTTTGCCTGGAGTTGCAGTCACCTGATGTAAATTGTTCAGGATCTCAGGAAGTAAGAATATTTATTGCATTTTTTTTTTTTTAAGTACCCTGTTTATTTCCTTTTAACTGATAGAAGACTTTAAATGTAGTTTAGAAGATAAAGAAGCTATCCTGTGATCTTAATAAATCATGCTATTTTTCAAATGACCTAGAAATTCATGTCAACTTAAGGACCACTATAGTGCCAGGAAAACATATTCGTTTTCCTGGCTCTGTAGGGTCCTTGGGTCCCCCTCCCGCAGGACTCTAGGGTGAGGAAGGGGTTAACCTCCTACCTTTTTCCAGCACCGGGCTCCCGGGCACTGGGGAATCTCCTCCTCCTTCTGCCATCATCGGCTGAATGCGCATTCGCAGCAAGAGCCACACACGCATTCAGTTAGTCTCATAGGAAAGCATTTTCAATGCTTTCCTATGGATGCTGGCGTCTTCTCACTGTGAAAATCAGCGAGAAGCGCGGAAGCGTCTCTAGCGGCTGTCAATGAGACAGCCACTAGAGACTGGATTAACCCATATGTAAACATAGTAGTTTCTCTGAAACTGCTATGTTTACAGCAGGCAGGGTTAATCCTAGATGGACCTGGCACCCAGACCACTTCATTAAGCTAAAGTAGTCTGGGTGCCTATAGCAGTCCTTTAAACTGCCACGCTAAGATTACTTGTTTTCACTTGAAATCTTTAAGCATGACAGTTACTTATAATAATAGCAATGTAGCTCCCTATCCCTGTTTCAATACACTTTTTTTTAAATATACCACTGCATAGATACACAACACTGTTTGCATGATGTCACAGGGGAATGTTATGCACCCACAGTAATAGTCCCAAATAACTTGTATGGGCTTATAGCATACATATCATAGTATATATTTGTTAGCAGAATAGGTTCATTTGCGTGTTGTACTTACTCCAAGTCAAATGGTCATGTTGCTTGGAGTCTTCATGTGCAGGGTTTCAGTGTGATACTGTGCACATACAGGTGTAGCTAATGATGTTTCCGGAGCTGTTAAGTCAACCCCCAACCGCATAATTAGGTAGCCTGGAACACGTGTTCTGGGCTGGCTAATTGTAAATTCTGTGCGTATTCATTGGCTGAGAGCACACACCTGATGCTCCCAGCCAAACAATCAGCAGCTGGATTAACATTTGGCTTCAACAGCTCTCTAGAAGTTGAAGGTTGTTAACCCTGCTTTAGAGGTTACCGGCTGTCCAGCTGGACCCAGATTAGAGGGAAAACCATTGCACCAAGGCGCTCCTAGCATTATCACTACTCTTCTCGGAGTAACACTTTAATGGCTTGTGACTACTGTTATGGGCAAATGCAAATATCACAAGTTTTAGAATGAAATGTTGTATTTCTTAAACTGTGTACTTTGTCTTTAAGAGATATTGCAAACTGACAAGGTTTTAGAAATGAAACATATTGTTTTTCATAGATGTTTCTTTAAGCAATAACCTCAGTGCATATTATGTTTACGCCATTTTGTCCCAGACGAATTACAATAACAACAATGCATAAACAAGCTTCAAGGCTATGCTACGACTCTTTCAGTACACAATATACTGTGGTAACCTTAGTAGATAAGGATGTTTAGACTTTAAGATGCCATCTTGAACTAAGTCAGGAAAATTTCCATGATGTATACACCCTTTAGTTATGGCCTTGTATGTTTGCCAAGTTAAGGGAGGTCCTAAAATGAATAAAGTAAAAGAAGTGTTACTTTTTCATATATGAACTACGGTAACCCTAAAATGGAGACACCTAAGGTATAAATAGGTGTACTTTTAAATGTTAAGACACAGAGGAGAGAACTGGAGACAGATGCTGCTCCATCTTAAAATGACAAAGAGGCTGACATGATGACATGTTCAGAAGGGTATGCTAACCTAATGATATTTGCAAGCATTTAGTTTAATCTTATAAACTCTGCTATAATGGATTTTATATTTATATTTTTATATAATAAATATCCAAAAAGACAAAACTATTGCTTCCAAGACAATCCTTATTTTATATTGTATTTTCAATTATTTATATATGTTAAATAGAGGATCTCTTACACTAACTATATAAAATTATGGCTAAGATATCTGTATGGTTAGCCCTACTACGTTCTTTGCTTTAAGACGTTATAGTGGTAAATAAGGGAACCAGCCGCGGTTACACTACTAAGCTACATGTAGATAGTATGATGTTTGAGATCTTTACAAGGCTAATATAGAAATTTAATGTAAAGATCAGGATTCATTTAGAAGACTTGGTACTACAGATTTGTAACAAAGAATAGATTCATAGGTGGGTATCTGCTTGTGTTTTATTCAATGTTAATGATAAAACTGTGTAATCAATGGAATGGCTATTAAAAATGGTTTTGTCTTCTTTCACTATAGGATGCACAGGCCTTGAAGAGCTCATAGGCATCGACTCTTCTTTTGAACCCTTCGAACACACTCTGTTCAGCCACACTTCAAAAAGCTTGGAGCGCAGTGTCCAGACAAAGGCAGTGAACGAACAGCTGGATGAAAGCATTGCCACTTTCCTCATACACTTGTCCCCCTACTTCATGCTCAAACCAGCCCAGAAATGTCTGGAGTGGTTAATCCACAGGTATAAAAAACACAGATTAAATGGACAGGGATGTTGACTAAACAGTGAATTCTCCAAATAGAAATAGTAATTAAAAAGTGATATAACAAAACACAAAGTTTATGTTATGATAAACAGCTTTGGAAAAAAAAAATGGAATGTCCGTCCATGTGGTAAAAGTCTATGACAATCGAAATTACAATAAATTGTAGCAAATGTGTATCAGCTATCAAGATGTTAGACTCCTGTTATTGAATAGCAGGAGCTCAATGCCTCTGAGGCTGATATTATGTTACCTATATTTGACAGTAGAATATAGGTATGAAGTCTTCTTTTAAATTGCCTAATACCTGACCAAGCTTGACAAAGACCTCTTGGTAGGTCGAAACGTTGCTGTCTGTTTTGTTACAATAAATCTGCCTGCGGCTTTCACGCTTTGAGTGCCTGGAAATCTTTCTAGATTTCAAGACAACTTCAACACAAGAGACCACTATATGGTCAGGTATTAAGCAATTTAAAAGAAGACTTTATACCTATATTCTACTGTAAAATATAGGTAACATAATATCAGCCTCAAATGCATTGAGCTCCTGCTATTCAATAACAGGAGTCTAACATCTAGGTAGCTGATACATATTTTCTACAATTTATTGTAATTTCGATTGTCATAGACTTTTACCACATGGATGGTCATTCTATTTTTTATTTTTCACTCTTATAACACTATAGTCACCTAAATTACTTTAGCTAAATAAAGCCGTTTTAGTGTATAGATCATTCCCCTACAATTTCACTGCTCAATTCACTGTCATTTAGGAGTTAAATCACTTTGTTTCTGTTTATGCAGCCCTAGCCACACCTCCCCTGGCTATGAATGACAGAGCCTGCATGAAAAAAAACAACTGGTTTCATTTTCAAACAGATGTAATTTACCTTAAATAATTGTATCTCAATCTCTAAATTAATCACATACAGGAGGCTCTTGCAGGGTATAGCAAGCTATTAACATAGCAGGGGATAAGAAGATCTTAATTAAACAGAACTTGCAATAATGAAAGCCTAAATAGGGCTCTCTTTACAGGAAGTGTTTATGGAAGGCTGTGCAGGTCACATGCAGGGAGGTGTGACTAGGGTTCATAAACAAAGGGATTTAACACATAAATGGCAGAGGATTGAGCAGTGAGGCTACATGGGCATGTTCCATACACCAAAACTGCTTCATTAAGCAAAAGTTGTTCAGGTGACTATAGTGTCCCTTTAAAACAGTGTGACTACTTACCAGTTGTTTGTAGAAGGTATGGTCTTGGAGTGTTGCTTTAATCAGTAGTAGATGCCTGCTTTTGTGTACTGACTTTTTGTTCTTTTTTTCAGATTTCACATCCATCTTTACAATCAAGATAGTCTAATTGGATGTGTTTTACCATATCACGAGACAAGAGTGTTTGTTCGAGTCATTCAGCTGCTGAACATTTCAGATCCAACTCACAAATGGCATTGGCTACATCCAATCCAGGTATTTCTGACAATAGGAACTATTAATATTATAGTATTCAAGTTGAAAACCATACCTGCAGATTTTACTGTCGACCTTTTAGTTTCTTTTTTTACATTTTTTTTTTTTTTTTTTTATGGTTGTTCACTCATGTGAAAATAATGTAATGGTTAGTTTAGTTTATTGAAGTAAAAAAACAATTAACTGTATTGTGATTCATGGCAGCACTTTCTGCTGTTGAGAAATTGTACAGGTACCACTTCACCATTGAATGACCAGATTCCATTTGATTTGGTAACGTGCAGTTGACAGACAGTGTTGAGAAGCTAAGAGATAACATTTATATTAATGATTTTATTAGCATTTGTTTCATAAATTTACTGATAGTGGTCTGCCATAGGTTAGGTTTCATGCAATAATTTTCAAGGGCAGATTACCTATTTGTTTAAGTTCAGATATGTTAGATTACATCAAGACAAAAAATTGCAATTTGTAAGAAAGGAAACTGTTTCTGTTCTCATGCTATATAACATCCTGTCTTCCATGTTGCTTATGTGCTCCCTGATATTTATTGTTAATCTTTTAAACAGACTCCAGGTGTCCCCCTTGCCAGAAGCACTCTGATCACACATTGTCACAAGGACATGGGCTTTCTGGAATACATTTGCAAACTGGTGACCAAATCCATAAAGGTTAGTATAAATCTTGATGGAAGTCTTACATGTGGCCTCCTTATCCTGCAGGAGGAGCATACCTAAAAAGGACAATACTAAAAATGAATAATTTAGAAACATTTGAGGACTGGATCTATCCCTCACTTAACTGGGAATTTACTGTCACATTATTAATTGTGGATCAAAACAGCAGATTTGGAAAATTTCTCTTATTTTAATCTTAAATTTGCAATTACCAACAGTTCCTGTTGTAGTTAATAAGTGAATTTAGTCCTTTTTTCTAGTGCCATTATTACTCATTGACAAAATTGACTTAAATATATGTTAACAGATTGCCAGATTGTTTTTCTAAAATAATCTCTTGTGATGGCAAATCATATAGGGTTGTTCACTAAAGTGAGAATTCAAGGTGAATTCAAAGAGAATTTCAAATTTAAGGTCAAAATAGCTGAAAGGGAACATTTCTCTAAATCAGCTATGCTTTCTGTTCTGCTACTCTGCCTTAAAGGACCACTGAAGTCACCTAGCCCACTTCATCTCATTGATGTGCACTGGGTGCAGTGATCCTGTCATGTTAACACTACAACGTAAAACATTGTAGTTCTGTAGAATCCGTAGTGTTTATATTTTGGTGTTAAATACCCCTATAGTAGCAGTATTCCTGACTGCCACTAAAGGAGCCTCATTTCCCAGAACCGAGAGAAACTTGGTCTTGAAATCAAATGCTGCTGATAGTTATCTTTATTTAACTTGGCTTTTACTGGACAAGAAGGAGCGGACAATGATCACATCGCTATAAGGAACCTATCGTCCTAAAATAATGATTATTTCTTGAATTCTCAGTTTAGTAAGTATCTCTGATAGTGATATTACTGCAAATATGTTTAAATTGGATTGTTTATTGATTTTATTCAGTGTTAAAGGGAAAGTCCAAGTATCATATTGCATATGGTTGGCATTCAATGCCTTCTGCATGGACACCTCAACATACAATGTGACACCAAAAGCTGGAACTTGTCAGCCTTTGTTAATATACTATTTTCGTACTTCAGATCAGGTGTAGAAAAATAGTTGGATGCCATCTGGGTTGTAGCGGTCAATAAAATAGTTTTAATGATAACTGTCTGTACAAGGTTATATCCATTTCATTAATGTTTTTTTCTCATTATTTTCAATAGGCATTTGCTGACGATTCAGGGAAGTCTGGAAAATTGAGAGTGTTGTTGTCTTTCTATGTATCCACAATCGTGGCTGCTTTGGATGCAGCAGAAAAGGTTTCTGACTCTCTGGTTGCAAAACTAATTCCATACGTGCAAAAGGTAACCTTTAGTAATAGAACGTGCTGTCCGAGTTTTCATATAATGTAAAATCCAATATTGGTATTTCAATACAACAAGCAAAGTAATAGTTTTGGTATATAATCATAACAACCTGTACTCATTGCATATGTTGAGTTCTCTGTCTACCCTCTAATTCACTATAGCTTCAGTAATTTTTCTAATTTTGGTGCAGCAATATGTCCACCAACCCACTGTCTGGGGTGGAAGTCCTAAGTAACTTGTACATAGTCTTTCATTGCTTTCTATAGTTTTTCGCAGCTAGGAGTTACTTTATTTTAGGAAAGCATACATGAAACCACTCACCAAGCTAACAGATGCCTTTGATTGAAAGAAACTGCTTGAGACGCACAAACTCTTTTTTTTTTTTTTTTTTTGGCTGAGCTCTAGCCTTCACAAACAGTGAGAAGACAGTAAAATTGAACTCCGCTTTTGATTGGTTTATCACTAAATGATGGTTCCTAACCACACACTGTCTGCTGCTTGGGCTAATGCTTTCACACTAACTAGACCAGCAATAGGTTCCAGGGGCAGGCTGAGAATGTTCAGTAAGTTTTTTTTTTTTTTTTTTCTCAACCTGTTAATGTGGAGTTACACACCTTGTAAGCCGTTTCTGCAGGGATGGGCCAGAGCCATGGGCAACCCGCAACCCTCATTCATTGTCAAGCTGTTTGAGAGGGAAGATGAAGTGGTTAAAGGACCACTATAGTGCCAGGAAAACATACTCGTTTTCCTGGCACTATAGTGCTCTGAGGGTGCCCCCACCCTCAGGGTCCTCCTCCCGCCGGGCTCTGGGGAGAGGAAGGGGTTAAACTTACCTCTTTCTCCAGCGCCGGGCAGAGAGCTCTCCTCCTCCTCTTCAGCTGAACGCGCATGTGTGGCAGGAACCGTGCGCGCATTCAGCCAGTTAATAGGAAAGCATTCACATTGCTTTCCTACGGACGCTGGCATCTTCTCACTGTGATTTTCACAGTGAGAATCGCGGAAGCCCTCTAGCGGCTGTCAATGAGACAGCCATTAGAGGCTGGATTAACCCTAACATAAACATAGCAGTTTCTCTGAAACTGCAAAGTTTATAGAAAAAAGGGTTAACCCTAGATGGACCAGGCACCCAGACCATTTCATTAAGCTGAAGTGGTCTGGGTGCATATAGTGGTCCTTTAAGGTGCCCAGTGTCCCTTTAGAAGGGAGTCATTTTGAGCTGTCCTTTTAATGATTTGCTAAGTGATACTTACAATAAAGGAAATTGAGAAGCATGGTTTATTTTTTCTTGTAAATCTGTACTAGGCTTATGCAATGACAGTTCAGAATACAGAATCATTTCTGAGATGATTATTGCACTTAGATATTCTTAACAAATCCCTCTCTGCAGTCTCACCCTGTAATGCATAGTCTGTATGTACTGTTGTCCCACATCGTTGCATCTGAACTCAATAGGATTTGGGTAGTACTGTGTTCGACCTTCATTGCATTGAACTTTTACCTCAGCATCATTTTTAAGTTTTGCTCTTCAGATAAACAATTGATGGGTTTGATGGTTTTTAATTTAACAATGTAGACACTCTAGAATTGAACACATCTGCAGCAGAGCAGTCTTGTTCCAGTTTCAAGTGTTATTTCTCCTTCATTTTAAAGGGCCTGAAGTCTTCTCTGATTGCTTACAAAGCTGCCACTTACATGATAATCTGCCAATTGTCATTGAAGACCATGATGGCTCCGGAACTGGTCAAAGCTCTAGCATCACAAATTAGCCGAAGCCTCGTAAAAACTTCTTTCATGATTCGTGAAGGCCTAGGCTGTCTGATTATCCTGTTGCAAAACCAGGAATCCAGGGACCTTGGGAAAAAGTGAGTATTAAAGTATTTGGATAAGGTGCATGTTTTGGTAATTTTTTGTAAAAAGTCTTTTAAGTAAATGTAATTGTTCATGACATTAAGTCATATGGCATTTTACTTCTGGGTATTATTCATATATTTACATGCACGTAAAAAGCTGTTTGTTTTTCATGCTAGGTATGTATGTTAGTGTTTTTGTTGATCAGTATTCTGCAGTATGTCAGCTTTCTCTAGAGTGATTGGTAGCCAAGTGCAGATTTTACACTCCACATGTTTAAGTCTTATTATTTAATTATGAAGAAGATGTGAAACCTACTTAGGGCTGTATTTAAAAAAAATGTTTTATTGTGTTGTGCGTTTTTGTGTGTGCATGACCTGGCTTTGGAAAGCTGTCCATTATATTAGAGGCTCATGCACCATCTTGCTTAACCATTACATGTTGCCTATACAGAAACCTGTATCTTCAATTAACCTAAAGCCACCCATATAACAAAACTATACAGCCCACAATAATTTATAGATATATTATTCCGGTACACAGCAGACACATTGTGCAGCACACACCTTTCCTCAGACTACAGGAAACTCATGCACACCATTCACTGTATTAGTGCTGAGAGGAAGAATGGGGGGGGGGATGAGAATGGAGAGGTAGAAAAGGTGGGGTTTGAATTAAAGTGATTTGAAAACAAAATGTCATAATTTAGGCTAAAATAGCTGACCTGGAAAGATTCGCCACCTTAGCTAATTTAGCCTAACTTTTATGATATTGTTGATCTTGTGCTTTAAATGCCGGGTTGGTGACTAGCCTCCAGTTTCCATGCTGTTGGCAGGGTATGTTCAGTCTCTGAGTTTTGCCTTGTTTAGCTACCTTACAGCCTTGTTGCTTCAGCACAAGTCAAAACATGAGTTTACAGATTCTTCTGGCAAGGATTAGGATGCTTAAGATGGAGTACAGAACACAGAGAAGCAATGTTCCGTTCAGTACAGCTGCTCCTTCCTTCCTGTCTTTGTATCCGGGATGCAGTATGGTCTTTTTCTCAAGGAGCGTTCCACCAGGTTACTGCATTGCCAATGTTCAGATGGATAATCTGGCTTTGGGGTAAAAATAAGCCTTGGTGAGACTCATTTTGGTTAGTTACAGTGTATTGCATCTGTAAGGCATTTCTAAATTCCATAGATGGAAAATAAATGTTTTCACTGTTCTGATTAATGTATACGTGTCTTGTTTCTGTAGACCATTTAGAATGCTTTGCAAGGCCCCCGACCTAGTCCCTGTCCTGAAGGGGATTGCAGACTCGTATGATACCACTCCTCTGTTGGAATACCTCCTACCAAACTTAGTACGTGGGCTAATCCCTTCTTCTACAGGTATGTATGACTCTTTTATGGCTTTCTGTACTTTTGATTACAAACTGAGATGAATAATGGTTGTTTAAAAAATACATTTAAGAAAAATTACATTTATTCTATCTTCCTACGGAGCTGCTAACTACCCTATTGATCTTTTGTTTGTGTGTGTGTGTGTGTGTGTATATGTATAAGTATACATGTTTGTTTTTTGTTTTTTTAATATATCTGATTTTTGTATCTGTAGAGGAAAGCTCAGCAGAGCCAAGTTTTGACGTTTGTAAAGGAAATCTGGAAGCAATTCTCCATGGCATACCTCTTGAGAAGGATTTAGATAAGCTGTTAGCCCGGTAAGACATTTTCTGCAGGTTGGCATACTTTTTTTAGTCTTTGAAAGAAAACCCCCCCCAGCATTTAGTACAACCATTATATAAGTGGATTAGCTTTGTTATTATTGATTTATTTATCCATGTCCATATTCCGTATGGTTCCAAAACATTAAGTAAATCCCTTGTTACCTTGAAAGACCTGTTAATTTTTTTTCCCCAAGGTGAGCGGCAGGTAAGTAAAACTCTATTTCATATTTGGTAACATGTTACAGAGTGAATATTCTTCATATACTTTCAGTAACTGCTTGTGTACCAGGGGCCTGGACAGTGCAATGCTTTGTGTGACTGATAAATTGTCTAATGTCAGGATTGAATAAGCGGGCTCCACATATTCGTTCTAATTGGGCGTGTGGTGTCCTGAAATTTGGCCAACATGTCAAAAAGGATTAATGTGCTTAAAACTAATGACTCTTTAATGGATCATTATAGTGCCAGGAAAGCAAACTTTTCCTGGCAATATGTAGTGCTTAGGTCCCCCCCAACCATGGCCCCCCTTCCGCTGGGCTGAAGGTGTTAAAACCCCGTCAGCCACTTAACTTTCACCAGCGTCGGGCTCCCTCTGTGCTGGGGAACTCTACTCCCCTGCTGACATCAGATCCAAGACCCACACACGCATTCAAACCGCCCATAGTGGCTGTCAGTGAGACAGCCGCTAGAGGCTGGATTAACCCTAGTGTAAATATAGCAGTTTCTCTGATACTGCTATGTTTTCAGCTGCAGGGTTAACATTAGAGGGACCTGGCACCCAGACCACTTCATTAAGCTGAAATGGTCTGGGTGCCTATAGTGGTCCTTTAAAGAATCCCTTTTCTAAAGTGGCAGATTTGTTTTTATAGAGCGTTATGGCAGCATTGTAAAAGTGAAGTAGTCCATTTGAATATTTCATTGGATTCAAGAGTCTTTTTTTGTTTTTTTTATTATTCTTCTTCTTTTATTTTTTAATGGAATCGAAACTATGATGTCTGTAATTTTAATTTTGTAATTTTTAAAATTTTTTATTATTTCTAGCACCCTCCTTGATGAATTTCTCTCCTACGGAGAGATGCATCTGTCCGAATCAGACAAAATTTCATCGTTGGGTCAGAGTCTCCTCCCCCTCATCAGACTCTTGGAAAACAAGTAAGTCAATTGGATTGTTTTTTTTATTTTATTTTTTTTTATCAAAATGTGTGTTTGTTTTTATTTGATTATTGAATATGTTTTAACCTCCTTCTCTGTAGTAGCTTTCTATCCTTCTTGAGAAGAACAATGTTGTGCTATGTTATTTCGGAGTAGGTTTAAATTACACATTTTAAATAATGTTCATTAATCAACAAATGACAAAGAACAACTAGCTTTTAGGATTGCATAGACTTTTTTCAGACGATGCCACCACTATTTTTAATAAACTCTTTATTTTACTAGCTGTATCCATGTTCCTTTGTTTTCTGCATATATACATTCAAGGAACGTGCTAGGCACCATAACCATCACGCACAAAGTTTTAGGACATTGACACTTTTAACATAAACTCCTGTTTACTAGAACTGAAATTGATTCTCTTGTTGCTTGTGGATTTAGAGTTTAGAAATTTCAGCTAAAGGTTGAGATCCCAATATTTGGGTAATAAAATAATCGGGGTGATGGTAAATAAAATAAATAATTGGTGTAAATAGTAAACAGTTTTTTATGAAAATATGTAACGGTACGGTTTTCTTCTATTTATTTTATTTAGGTGGCTTTTATTTATTGCGTGACATATTTTTCCCCTTCATTGTTTTCGTTTGTAGGTATCCTGATTCTCTCGATTCTGTGTTGGCGAACCGATTGAAAGATGTTGTTGAGCAGGAGATGCAAGATGTATTTCACCAATTCATTTCACTGTCCACCAGTGGTGGTAAATATGAGGTACGATGCCCTGTTAGCACAAGCTATTCTATGGGTGTTATGACAGTGCAGTTATTCCAAGCTATTGTTGATATTTGTGTTGGGGTGTAGATATGTTATTCTAAAATGTTACAGAAGTATACCATGCCATAGAACGTTCTCTGTGTCCGTCTGTGGGCATTTCTCTCTAAATGTAGTTATCTAATTTGTTCTCCATTCTAGTTACTGGCTGACTCTGACACATCTCTCCTGCTAAGCTTGAACCATCCACAGTCTGGTGTGAGGCAGTTGGCTCTTCAACACTTGAAAGAAATCATTGCAACATCTAAGGTAAGAGCCTTGTGCAAGGTTAGCCAAACTGTAAATTGGCACAGTAACTCCATGGTTTGGGGCTCACTTCTAATGTTGCTGTCTATTTTTCTAACGACGAACCGCTACTCACAAAATTACCTGTAACTACTGTTGGCGAGTTGTAGCTGTTTACTGACTGCAAAAGTTCCCCCGTTGTGACAGGCAGTTACTGACTGCTGCTAATTACAGCCAGTCACTGGGTAGCGGATTGCAGCTCCTATTATTCTCTATCGTAGCAACTGTTTTTCAATGCTCTCACTGCTGCCACTGACTGTTAATAGCTACATCCTTCGTCCGATACACCCTACAGGAAAAATACATGGTAGATATAAGGCATTACACGTAAATGCCAAAGCACAAAATCAAAACTTATTTAAACCATATATTAAAGGACCACTATAGTGCCAGGAAAACATACTCGTTTTCCTGGCACTATAGTGCCCTGAGGGTGCCCCCACCCTCAGGGTCCCACTCCCGCCCGGCTCTAGGGAGAGGAAAGGGTTAAAACTTACCTTTTTTTCCAGCGCCGGGCGGGGAGCACTCCTCCTCCTCTCCGCCTCCGATCCTCCCTTTCGGCTGAATGCGCACGCGCGGCAAGAGCTGCGCGCGCATTCAGCCGGTCTCATAGGAAAGCATTTACAATGCTTTCCTATAGACGCTTGCGTGTTCTCACTGTGATTTTCACAGTGAGAATCACGCAAGCGCCTCTAGCGGCTGTCAATGAGACAGCCACTAGAGGATTTGGAAGCTGGATTAACCCATTTATAAACATAGCAGTTAATCCTATCTAGACCTGGCACCCAGACCACTTCATTAAGCTGAAGTGGTCTGGGTGCCTAGAGGGGTCCTTTTAACTGCAATAAAATTAAAAAAAGTCAGACACTTAATAAAACAATAAAATTGTTTATATAAGTGAAATGCATGGGTCATTTAAATGAACAATTTATATGGCCGAAATGAACATCAGAGGTTACATAGATATATATCTGGTAAAGCACAGAATCACACTGTAACATTGCATACCCTGTTGCTATTTCTTGCTAAGCCCAATCACTGGTCAAGTATGCACGAGCGAGGGGGCACTGTAGGGTACTCATAGTCTATAGTTTCCCTTCAAATTTATATTTCATTACTTCACTGTAGCTCAAGCAGCCAGAGTACTTAAAAGATTGTTCTCTTTAAAATGTAGAATTAAGGTTTAACACAGAATTAAATGGTAAATTCCTTTTAAAATGCCCAAAACATTTTAAAAGCTTGAGGAAAAACTGTTTAATTTGAATATATGATTACATTGAATTAATTTAAATACTGGATTTCCACAACAAATTAATTTCCGTTTATGCTGTTTGATCTAATACAGATTTTCCTCTTGTTTTTGACACAGGCAGGGTTTGATGAGTCCTTTATACAGGAAGCCATTATAGCTCGACTTATGGATGAAAACATTGAAGTTGTTATGTCTGCCTTGGATGCCTTCAAAGTAAGTTGTAGCACACACCATTTTCTCAAGACAAGCAGTGCAATGAAATGGATATAAATAATGGTGCCAGGAAACCAAAATGAGGGTGCACAATGTGAGGGTTAAATAGGTGACCTGATCAGTAACAACAATGGAAGAGTAAATAAACACAATTTTAAGGCAATTTTAAAAAAGTGAACTGGGACTACTTAAAGGTACACTATTATAGGGGGAAATGTGTTCAGACACCCTCTTTAAGATATATTTACCCTTGAAAAATCATGCTTCTACCATATAAGCGGTTTGATTGGCTGCTGTTGTCCTCCTTTTATGGCAACTTTTTAAATCTGTTAAAGGGTTACTTCAGGCACTATGATCATTTTAAGTGATTTGAAGTGGTCATGGTGTCCGGAGTCTGTGTGTGCAGCTTTTTCATTTGAAATGCTGCAGATATAACCCCTCTGCTGCCAGAGGTGTAACTCCATCTCTGGCAGCATCATTGGGGTGTCATCAGAACTAGTTCTGGGTTGGCAAATGCCAATTATGTGCATTTTTAAATTCAAAGACTCTAATTTCTTGGCTGAGAGCGTTCAGCTAATGGTCTCAGCCAATGAATTGGTGTCAGGATTGGCAAAAGGCTTCTACAGAAGCGGAATGTCTTAAATCTTCCTTTGGCAGGGCCAGATAAGAGTGCCATCAGACCCTTTTAATGTTTGAGACGTGTCATGTAATTAGATGATGTCCACACTGTAAAATGACTAGACACATCAAGGCTGTTTATACCTGATGAAGTGCAACTTTTCTCTTGCACAAGCTGTTCTCAAGCTTTTAAAACAATTAGCTGCATGTTTGTGTGCTTGTCCTTCTGTCTACTTTTTACCAAATAGCATATTACATCTACCTCTGTGCCTGTCACACTGAAAAATTATATTCAGATTGTAATTATGGTTACTTAAAGGGAGACTATAGTCTAAGCAGTTTTTGTATATAGATCATGCCTCTGAAGTCTCACTGCTCAATTCGCTACCATTTAGGAATTAAAATCATGTTTGATTCTGTCCTTGCAGCCCTAGCCATATCTCCCCTGGCTGTACTAACACACAACCTGCATGGGGAAAAAAAGGTTTAATTTTCAATCAGATGTTAACTTGCTTTAGTAGGTGTTTTTTTATTAGTTTTTTTTTTATTTTATAAATTTCCTGCTCTTTAGAGGGATACTATAGTGCCAGGAATTCAAAGTTGTATTCCTGGCAGTATTGCTCCCCTTCCCCCCACCCACCTTTTATTTACTTACCTTATCCCAGCGCCATTGTCCCTCAGCGCTGGGTCGACGCTCCGCAACGTACGGGCTCTAATGCGCAAGCGCTTCAAATGCAGTGCGCGCATTTGACGTCCCCATGTGAAAGCATTGAATTAATGCTTTCCTATAGGAAAACATCTGACGCTGGGTTTCCTCATGCTGGGTGTCCGTTTCATTCCAGAAAGCCCTCCAGTGGCTGTCTGGTAGACAGCCACTATAGGCTGACTTAGCACTGCAATGTAAACATTGCAGTTTCTCTGGAACTGAAATGTTTAACATTGCAGCAATATGTGCAAAAGGGACACTGAAACCCAGACCACTTCAATGAGCTGAATTGGTCTGGGTGCCTACAGTGTCTCTTTAAATTGAAATGTAATCACACAAGAGGCTCTTACAAAGTATAGCAAGATATTACCATGTAAGAGATAAGATATTCTAAATTAAACAGACTGTGCAATAAAGCAAGCATATACATTTAATCACACTCTATAGAAAGTGTTTAGAAAGGCTTGTACACGTTAAATGCAAGTAGTGATTTAACTTCTAAATGGCAGAGAATTGAGCAGTGAGCCTGCAGTAGCATGCTCTATACATCAGCTAAAGTTGTTTTGGTACCTATAGTTTCCCTTTAAGTGTGGTTAGTTGACAAAAATAATCTTTTAATATAGTAATATGCAATTACATTATAATTTGTAAAGAAAAGAAGATATCCAATACCTTAAAGGACCACTCTAGGCACCCAGACCACTTCAGCTTAATGAAGTGGTCTGGGTGCCAGGTCCAGATAGGATTAACCCTTTTTTTTTTTTTTTTTATAAACATAGCAGTTTCAGAGAAACTGTTATGTTTATAATACGGTTAATCCAGCCTCCAAATTCTCTAGTGGCTGTCTCATTGACAGCCGCTAGAGGCGCTTGCGTGATTCTCACTGTGAAAATCACAGTGAGAACACGCAAGCGCCCATAGGAAAGCATTGTAAATGCTTTCCTATGAGACCTGCTGAATGCGCGCGCAGCTCTTGCCGCACGTGCGCATTCAGCCGGAGAGGAGGAGGAGGATCGGAGGCGGAGAGCTCCCTGCCCGGCGCTGGAAAAAAGGTAAGTTTTACCCCTTTCCTCTCCCCAGAGCCGGGCGGGTGGGGGCACCCTCAGGGCACTATAGTGCCAGGAAAACGAGTATGTTTTCATGGCACTATAGTGGTCCTTTAAGCTTTTTTGTTTTTCTCTCTTTCAAAAAAACAGCATGCGGTAAATAGATCTAATTAATGTGCTCCTGTTTCTATTAATTTAGTTTGTCCTCAGCTACTGTTCAGGGATATTTGATATATTATCATAAACGTAATGCTTATAAAACACTCCTTTCCAAGTTTATAGTGTCACAGAATAGTACTCTCTAAAATGAAGTGCTGACCACTGAAGGCAGCTGTAGGATTTTAACATATTATTTGCTTTAACTTCAGATTTACAGCACCCATTTCAACAGAGATGCCACAATTTCTAATCTTCTACCACTCTTTAAACGCATCGACCTCTCTCAAGACAATGAATGGTATGTTTGGCTATTTAATCTCCATCAGAAAATTCTTACGTGTTGATTCCATTGTTCGTATTCTCGATGGTCCTCATTCATAGATTTGGAATCAACCTTTTGTGAACATGAATATTTTCTCTCTTTGTAATTTATAAAATTTCAATGTACATGTTTGGTCTGACTTAGGCTGTCGACGCTGTTCCCTGTTTCTGGGTCAACCGACTATGGGTCTCCAAAGTGAGAATTGGTGGCCCTGAAAAGCACACAGTGGTTATGGTTGTTAGGTTGCCCCTGCTACAGAGAATTTGTTATATGGAAACATACCTGCATACATGTGTTAATTGGCTAGAAAAAATTTTGTGTACTTGATATTAAAATATTGTTATGAGAAGTACGTAAATGTGTTTAGCGATATGCAAATTGATGAGTTTGCATTTTTTTGCGGGGGGGGTGGGGGTGGGGTGGAGACTCGCAGGACATATAAGTATGTGCAATCTCTCTTACATTATGTTATATTGTATTTGGATGTTCTTGGTGTAACTCCATGGATCTGAGTGATACTATTTCATAGAAATAAACTCTTCATCTATTAAGAGAAGTAATGTTTTTGTCATTGACTTACTACAAGTGTGTGTGTGTGTGTGTGTGTGTATGTATGTGTGTATGTATGTATGTGTATATATATATATATATATATATATATATATATATATATATATATATATATATATATATATATATATATATATATATATATATATATATTCATATATTCATCCCCCTATTCAAAGGTGTGTCGGCACCTGAAAAAACATTATTTAGTTTCGCACAAATAACTGATCAACTACATGTTCTAAGTGTAACATATAGCTAATATATTAAGCCTCAAAGGGTTAAAGGGACACTACAGACCCCTAAAGCACAGTTGCTTGCACACATTGCTGTTTCCTAAGCTTATTTTTTTTTTAAATGTCCAAACAAATTCCGAATTGTTGTTTCCTGGAATCTGTGTTGACAAATGTCTTGTGTTTTATAGGTACAGAGTTCTTGAAGAGGCAACAGTTCTGCTGGTCCAGGAAACCTCAATAAAAGATGATCCTGCTCTGAGCACTGGAATGTTAATGATCCTGATGCCATACTTGGTGTTTACAAACAGTGACACGAACTCTGCTGAACAGAAAATGGCCCAGTATCTGGCAAGGAGTGGTATATGTGACCTTCTTCCTCTCCTGAAGGGCTGGCCGGAAGGTATGGGTACTACTGTCCGCGTGGAAGTTATAGCTACATTAAAGCTGATGAAGACATTACTGTTTTATTGGGTTAATATTAATGTTTCCGTAACATGTCGGCTCACAATTTACACTTGTGGCTACTTATTTGTGAGTTGACATGTGTCTTGTGACTCACTGACTGTGAGACTAGTGGACACATTTTGTGCTTGGCCTGTTAGGCCAAAAGGAAACATAAACCACAACAATTTAAACATCCAGGATTCTGAATTTTTTTGTATTTGTTATTAAACAACTTTGCCCAACAAGAATATAGTTTTGACTGTTTGACAACAAACTACTCAAAAATATTTCTAAAAGGATAATCCTTTCATCAAGTATTGAAAGGAAATTGATATTTTTTTTTTCCCCATAAGTAAGTGTATAAAACAAAAAATAGAAAAATCATCCATACCTTTAGTACATGACCAGATCTTTCAGCCATATGCAAATATACCTTGGGTCGGACCGTGTTTCAAAACTATAACTATCCTGGCACACAGAAGGCAGTCTTTCTTAGGAGTTCAAAGGTGAAGACACCATTTTGGCAAAGGCTTAGGAGGTGACGAAACGTTTTCACTTTTGTACACCTAATAAAGACTGCCTTCTGTAAGAAACCATCAGGTGTTCTAGGATAGCTATATTTATCACTGCTGGATGTTTTGGGGAATCTGGAGCACCCTGGTGGTGGATGTATTCCCCTTATAATAATGTCGTGTGCATTACCCTCTACATTTTGGGAATGTTTGGAAACTGACAATCTCTATAGTCTTCCCTGCTTTTGTGCAGGGAGTGAATGAGGGAAGATCATAGAAATTGTCTGTTTGCACACTCTGCTTAAATGATGGTGCATGCGGAAGGATCCCGTCATAATAAAGGTAGGGAAGCATTTTTTTCTCATTTTGTTTACATATACTTCATTTAATAAAAAAACAAAACAAAAAAACCTTCATTTCAATACTTGACAGGATTACAGTATATTCTTAAATGTTTTGAGGTGACAGTTGTTCTTTGAACACAGGATCATTTAAGATTAAACAGTGAGCATTGTGTTTACATGTAACTGTGTTTTTCTAATATATGTAAAACTATCATATGTGCTCAATAAGTGTTTTATTCACAGTGCTTGATGACACAGTAAAAAATGCTAAGCCTGCACAAATACTTGCTCTGGTAAATGGCAGTCTGGTCCGATTGTTGTTAAAGAATATGACTGCGCTGGATGTCTCTTCTTGTTTGCAAATGGTAAATCAGTATAATGTTTGGATACCCTTATGTGTCAATTCTCAGCAGATAGCTGAGCGTGTCTGGATTCTCATGATGAAGTCTCCCTAGGTTCAGAAGTGCTTTGAAAATATAAGTCTATTACTTTCATCCACTGCCCTACCCAATCCCCTTATACAGTAGAGAACCAGTAGCTTTTACAGAGATGAGTTGGTATAGAACTTTCTTTATCAGATACGTAATTAAACTTTGTGTGTCATGTACTCACTCCTATGAACCTCCTGATTTAGTTGCAGATGCAAGTCCCCTTTACTGGGCTCCAGTAAATAAATCCAGTGATGCTGGTTATATAAATGAGAGTATATTCAGCCATCGAATCAAAAAAGTGTTGCAACGTTTAACAAACTTCTGTGTCTTTCTCAAGCAATGGACATTGATGGCTGCCAAAACATTGTCGCTATTTTGGGATTGATAGTTGAACAAGTTCCCTTAAATCACCAAGTAGCAGGCTGAGAGGAGACAATACCAGACTTAACTTTCAGAGAACAGACCATGTCTCTTCAAATTTGTAATAATGCTGATGAATAGCACTGCATACCCTGCCACTTGCAAATACTAGATAGTTGCTGTTAGTTATACTGGCCAATGATTGCAATTTCTTGTGGTACGTTCAGTATATTTGGAGCAGTAATTATCAGTCTCTATATGTATGTAGTATGTCAAACCATGCTTCTTTGCTGTTTTTTATTATTTGATTTTAAGGCTTAATGATATATATATATATATATGTGTATGTATGTATATATGTGTGTGCAACATATACATTGTCTCACATCACATGTTTATGCAGATGGAACACATGATACAGGAAGTTGAAAACGATTCTGACAAGGTGAGGCAGAAGGTAACATTCCACCTTGTCTCCTGCGCTCTCATCCAAGTATGCTGTAGCCAACAGGACCTCAACACCGCTGCTCAGGTTTTCCAGCTACTCGAAAAAAGAATTAAAATGATTGATGCATCAGTATCAACAGAGGTAATAACATTTTTATTGTTTCTAGAAAGCGTGCATGTTTAACGTGTCTGTTAGTTATCATTTTAAAAAGTCCTGGGCAATACCAAGATCCAGAGCAAATCTCTCCAGAGATCTAGATTTCTAAATATAAAATCCCCAGTGTTTTTCCAGTGTATGTGGAAAGTTTAAATGTGCCTATTTCTTTCAATCGTTCACTTTTCTTCAATTTTACCTAGTAGTACATTTGTTTTGTGACCCTTGTGTTACTGCTGTCATGGCCACATTTCCATACATCACATCCCGTGGGTCTTTAGTAGTGATGCCGCGAACTTGCCGCGAACGGTTCGCCGCCGTTCGCGGGGAACTCCGGTCAGCTGACACATCCCTGCCAATCTCCGGCAGACCCTCCCTCCCAGACCCTCCTACTTCCTGGACAGCATCCATGTTGAAGGCAGCTTCAACATGGATGCTGTCCAGAAGGTGGGAGGGTCTGCCGGAGATTGGCAGGGATGTGTCAGCTGACCGGAGTTCGCTGCGAACGGTTCGTGGCGAATTGTTCGCGGCAAGTTCGTGAACGGTTCGCGACATCACTAGTCTTTAGCTACCTCTCAAAATTGTTGGCATGTATATTTCAACATGAAATATTATTGTAAACAATATTTACACGTACTATTTTACAAGGCCGGCTCCTACGTATTTGTGTTCAGAATGTTACGCATTGAATTAAGTTTCTCTGTACCTATCTACAATGGACAAATATTAATCTTGAATACTGCTAAGCATGAATACTAATCTTATTTTCACAGGAACTCAACAAAAAATGGCTTCTGGACACGATGAGTGAGGATCATCTACAAGTACAACTGTTAAGTGAATACATAGAAAAACTTAATGCTGGACACTCTACACTCAAGGAAGAAGCTGTTTTGCATATGGTTCTTTTGAGAAGCTTTATACGCAGTCTCCGGTGTCCAGATTCCTTTTCTAAAGGTGAGCTTTTGCCCACACAAAATATACCACTTGGCCCTTTTACTGGTGCCCAGGGAGAAAACTTCTGTATTGAGGCTGTAGGAGGCAGAGGGTTTGGACAGATGGGTACCCCAGGACTTTGGAGTTAAATTGTTTGAAATTAGTTTAACTCCATTTGGTAAAATGGTGGCCAGGACCTCCAGACACCATACTAAAATAACGTTGTTTTGCTTTTTAAATTACCAGCTCCTGTATCGTTAATGTAATAAATATGTGCTGCTTAAAATAAATTGTTTATAGTTTGTCTTAATTTATCCAATTTACCTGTTTTATAAAATGGCTGTATTCCCTATTGCTAGTTCCACTACAGATTATACTGAAGTATGGACTTTTTGAGAGGGCACCTTTTGTCTGACATAGTTGCATAGTGCTTACTGTTGCTTCGGCAGAACAAATTGCTCCATTATTTTATGAAAGCTTTTATGTGTAATTTGTCCGCAAAACCTGCAATAAAGCTAGAATTACTTTAGAGTGGCACGCTGGCATTTCAAAGGGATGTTTCACAATGATAATTGTTAGTGCTGAAAGTAAAATAACTTGTATTATACTTGATATTCAAGACACTGAATTTTTTTTATTTTAATTGCTACATCTAGTATAAAAAAAAACAAAAAACGACAAATCCCAAAACAAGATTTTAAGTACTTTCTGCAATATTTACTTGGCTTTTGGTTTGTGAAGTAACAAAATAGTTCTGTTTTTGTAAGTCTGCGAAGGAAAACTTTTTTACGTGTTCTATGCGCAGTTCAGGATGATACCATGTTTACTAATAACAGCCAGAACAATGTCGTCTGGGATTTCTAGCACATAGATGTATGGCATGCTTAACATTTAATGCTGTAAATTAATTTATTCCCCTGTCTTATCCACAGGTGAAGTTTGGTGGAATCCCGAGACTATGGATAGTCAGAGCAAAATCTATTTGCAGATCCTGATTGGCCTGTTTGAAGTGATTATTTGGGGTGCCAGTGAAGGTCCATATGCCATCAACTTTAGAGCTCTCATGGGTTGCTTATTTCAGGTATACAGCGTGTAATTTCTGTGTGTGTCATATGCTGCAAGAGTCACATGTTGGATAGACTTGTGCATGACGGGAAAGTTGGGTAGAATTATATTTCCCAAAATTGAAATGTTGTTTAGGATGTCCATCGATCGTTCATATGCCTGCTCCGTTCAGCCAAATATCGTCCATCGAAAAGTATTCTTGGAAACTTTTAAACAAACTAAAGAAGGGTGTGACAAACAGGCCAATCAGTGTACTGGAAAATATTTACATCAAGTACATAAACATTTAGATTTCAGGATGCTGATGGGCATGTTTTCCTGCCATTTGGTTCACAGATCAATTGAGGAAAAAGTACCCAAACCCCGGGGGGAAAAAGGGGAGGAGCAGTGGAAAAAAAAATCTATAGTTATTTTTTTCAGTTCCTCTTTTTTTCCACCCTCTGTTGGTGATTTCTTGCTTAATCTGTGAATAAAGTCAAGATTTAGTGTCTCATTATACCATCATTATATCATTACACCATGGCTCACAACTTTTTTTTTTCTTTCCTCCTTTAAGGTACACCTAACGAATCATATGGAACTTTTTAGTTTTCTGTCTCTCTTGTGGACATACAGCTGTAATCTCTCCAAACCTTTGGACTGCACAGTAAACGCAATTCTCCAAACCCGCGCGCTGTATATTGGTCACAACTTACTGGCATCCCAGGCAGCTCAGAAAAAGAGACAATTTACTCCCATCTCTTTCCCAGGTAGAAATTAGCTGAAACCTGAGCATTGTGGGGAAATAATACATTGACAGGTTGTGTTTCTATGTAGATATGTGATGTATGTATCTTGCAAACTTTTTCCCTGTCTTTTTTTTTTTCTTTAGTAACTGTATCTTTGCTGGTTAACTTGATGAGCCCTGTGCGAGAGGTTCGCAGGGCAGCCCTCATCTGTTTACAGGCTCTCTCTCCTATGAGGGATTCCCCATTCATTCCTGTTCTACAAGGTGTGCTGCAAAAATCCGAAGAAATAGTTGCTGATTCTACATATGTGGTTCAGGTAATAAATAATGATGGAGTATTAAGGAAAATAAGGGTTTCAAATATCTGCGGTGCTGGTTAGTCATCATTGCTATGAAGAAATTGTATAAATGAGTCCCCTCTAGCTTTACAGACCATTGTAAAAGGTTGTGCAGTGAATGTATACTTTACTGAAGGGCTCACATTTTCTCCAAGCCTGCGAACCATTGACAAGAGAAAGTTCACTTCCGGCAACTGAGCCCTGTCTTCCACTGTCTAAGAGAATCTTTATGGGCATGTTATATGTATAACCAAAACAGATATTTTACATTTGGAACTTCCTTATCTTTTGATGCTATGCCAACTGTGACAAATGCAAGCCATATGGAGGTTAGCTTAACATGGCTATATGTGCTGGAGAGGGTTAGTCGTGCCTTGTAAATGTTAGGCCAGGCTAGTAGTAAATGATGTAAACTCCAAATGCTATGTTTTTATGACACACGTATCGTGTAACAGGGGATAGACTGTGGATTACACTGTAAATGTTTGGGGGTTTTTTTTTTTTTTTTTTGCTCCTTGTAAATGTGTTTTCTGTTGCTTTAACTCCACAGACGTTAGGCTGTGTGTTTGAGGACTTACAGGCACAGAAGCTTTCTGTTGCGTTGGAGAATCTTCTTAGTCTTCTACAGTCACCCAGCTGCCCGTCCTATGTTGGGAAAGTATTGATGAAGACACTTGGTGATGTCAATGGAGAGGTTTGTTTAATACATTCTGTTCACTCTCAGTTGGGATGGTCTTTATTTTGTTTTTTATTTCGTTTCTTCTCCTCAATAATACTTGAAAGAACTAGATGCCTCTACAAACCCCATGTAATTTGCCCTGGGCCATGTGATCGCGAGGTCCTTGCGAGGACCCCGCGATCACATAGACGGCATAGCCGCCCAAGGAATTGCCAGCAGGGGAAGTGCCTGTAATGACAGGTACTCCCCCTGCTGCCTGGAAATAAAATTAAAAGATGTTAAAACAGTGTAAAATTAAATAATATATACTTAGATCATATATATATTTATTATATATATGATCTAAGTGTATATGTATATATATATATATATATACACATACACATAAATACACATACATTGTCTTCGTGTATTTTAATAATATATACATAATTTTATATATATATATATATAAATATCAAAATACACGTACAATGATATTGATTAAATATATATATAATTTTCATTATATTTATATATAATAAAAATAAATATATAAATACGTTAAAAAAAAATTAAAAAATATATATACATGCGTAATTTCGTTCTTACTGTATTTTCAAATTAATATATATAGATATCAAAATACATGTAGAACAAAATAATATATCTATATACATAAGTATATACGTATATATCACTATATATATATACCTATATATAAATAAAAATAATAAAAAAATTATATTTATTTCTACGTATATATTTATGTTATCATTTTACATAATTAGGTCATTTTATTAATTACAATTTGCAGGACCTGCTTGACAACCCAGGCCGAAAGTTCAAGGAATTAAATTTTCTAGCACTATATTTAACCCTGTAACATGGGGGGTACTGTTTTACTCTGAAGACTTCGCTGAACACAAATATTAGTGTTTCAAAACAGTAAAATGTATTACAACGACGATATCGTCAGTGACAGTGAATTTTTTTTCATTTTTCACACACAAATGGCACTTACACTGACGATATAATTGTTGTGATATGTTTTACTGTTTTGAAACACTAATATTTGTGTTCAGCGAAGTCTCCCAGGTATAACAGTACCCATCATGTACAGGTTTTATGATGTTTTCAAAAGTTACAGAGTCAAATATAAGGCTTGCGTTTCAGTTTTTTCACATCAAAATTCGCCATGTTGCCTTTGAGACTGTACGGTAGCCCAGGAATGAAAATTACCCCCATGATGGCATACCATTTGCAATAGTAGACAACCCAGGGTATTGCAAATGGGGTATGTTCAGTCTTTTTTAGTAGGCAATTAGTCACAAACACTGGCCAAACTTTGCGTTCAAATTAGTTTTTTGCATTTTTAAATATTAACACTAACTTTGGCCAGTGTTTGTGACCAAGTGGCTACTAAAAAGGACTGGACATACTTCATTTGAAATACCTTGGGTTGTCTACTTTTGCAAATGGTATGCCATCATGGGGGTAATTCTTATTCCTGGGCTACCATATGGTCTCGAAGGCAACGTAACCAATCTGGCGAATTTCAATGTCAAAAAACTGAAATATGTAGCACGCTATATTTGACCCTGTAACTTCCCAAAACACCATAAAACCTGTACATAGGGGGTACTGTTTTACACGTGAGACATCGCTGAATACAAATATGTGTATGTTACTGCAGTAAAAGTAAACAGTATTTTGACATTCACAGTTAAAATGTCACGTAGAACTAAAAAAAATTTTTTAATTCTTATTTTCTCCCATTTTTAAAATATTTTTTTCATATTAAATTATTTTCCATACCTAAATATTTGATGTTAAACGAAAGCCCTGTTTCCCCTGAATAAAATGATATATAATAAGTGTGGGTGCATTTAATATGAAAGAGGTGAATTACGGTTGGACATACAGCGCAAATGCCAGGTTTTGTTTACGTTTTGTTTTGATCACAACATGTACATTTGGCTGCAGTCTTAAGGGGTTAAAGATGGTTGAGAAGGAGATTAGTTTGTTTGTGGTTTACCATTAGAATTTTTTTTTTCTCTTGCTTAAAGCGGCTCTGTCAACGTCTGGGGCCTTTGCATAATTTGGCAGTTTGGCAGTCCTCTAAAGCCGCTGACACTTTAGCTGCCAGAAGCCAATGTCTGCTTTCTACTCGAGCGCATGCGCGAGAGAACAGCACTGAGATCTATGGAAGATCCCACAAAAGCCTTTTTCCCCTAAACCGTCACTAGTGACAGCCAAAGGCTTGATAAAAGATAGAAAAGCGTAGGAATAGTACTTAGACAAGTAGATTCTACTCTGTCTTAGTATATCTTTTGGCCTGATTGGAAATTCAGTAAAAGATTTTATCTTAATGAAATACACATTTTGATTGGGTGTCATAGCGGATTGAATACTAAAAATGTGCCATAAAGCCAGATTTAGCTGGAAAGTCCTGTCGTCTAGTGTAAAGCATTGCTATGTAATTAGTTTATTAATCAAGACAGTTCCCTTTGGGTCCTCTGTGATTGATACATTGATTTTAATATGTAGCATGTGAATTCTGCATACCGCAGGATTATAACTACTGATTGTGAATATATAAGACACAGGAATAAACCTAAAGGAACATTCTAGGCTGAAGATTTTTAAAAAAAAATATTGATGTAGATTCTCGCCTTTGAAGTTAATACATTTGCTACGAATTCCCAACCATTACAGCTTGCACCATGACCTGTACCCTGACCTATCAAATAGTGCTGCCACATCTCTCAGTGAGAGTGCTTGTAGGACAGTGATATTTGCAATTCTAAATGACCGGGAACAAGGCAGTGTTTTCCACCATAGTCAAAGGGGAAAAAAAATGCATTTTTGTGCTGCTTGATGCAAGTCTCAAAATTTTTGCCTATCTTAAATTTGTTAAAGAGAAACAGAACCATACAAAATGCTGGTTGAAATGGCTTTTGAGGGGATAAAAGCAACGTGTTTTCTCTCACAGGTTCTCCTCACGCAGCTCCTGCCTGTGTTGGAAGCTTTGTTGGACATGGTTTCATCTCCTACAAGACAGATACTGAAAGACCAAGCTGTTCTGTTGCACCTCTGCCTGTGCAAGTTTAACGAGCATTCTGCCCCACTTTTGGCCAGGAACTCCCAATGCCTGGAAATCTTCATTCGAGCATTGCAGACCACTCAGACCTCCCATCCAGGAATGCCTTCTCCGCAAATCATTGCGCTCGGACAAGTAAGTTTTCTATTTCAAAGTGGGAGGTGAAGGGGTGCCTTTTCTAGAAACTAGCACTGTTCTATTTGGTAGTATTTCTAATATTTTTCAATTTTGTTAATGTTTATCTTTTTAAAATGTGCATGTGATGTTACATTTAAATTTTCTTTATTCAGCTCACTATTTTATAGCTATTCTTTATTATGTTTCTTAATGTGTCTCTATCAGTCACTGCAGGTTTTTGTTTAGATGGTTATTGCTTCAGAATTTACCAAAGAATGATACTGGCTGCCATGAGATCTAGCAGCCGGTTTATGTACTTAGCTAGAGCCATTTATGTACTTTAAAGCCATTGATGATCGAATAATCAAGTTAGTGAATCAAATTAGTTTACTGTTCTAGATGTAGCACCGCTTAAGTGAAGTATAAATGTGCAAGAGTGAGTGGTTAATGTTTGTTTTGTTTTATGTGAATTCTTGGTACAATAATGGTCACATGTATATTCTTCATCTTAGATCACCAAGCCTTTCTTTGCTGCTCTGGAAGATGGAAGTGTTCAGCATAAAATACTGGCTGTTCTTTTTGATCTTCTTTCAAACTGCAAAAATCCTGTCTGTGGCCAGAGTGTTAACAGCTCATTTAAAGCAGTAAGTCTACATGCTCTTCAATGGTTGTGTATTTAGAATATTCCATGTCCTGGCATATTGCTGTTTTTCTATGTATATGATTTTGTAGGACCAATACTTTGCACTAACTGTAGAAAATATAGAGCTTCCACCCTGTTGTATATACCATGGACATTGGCTGTTACATCAAGTAACTTTTAAGGACTAGCTAGTAGCATAGGACACGTGAGCCTTGTAACTGTACATTAAACTGATGGTTCTAGTCATGGGGGTCTTTAAGGGAACATTGTTGCTTAGTTTTGATCCTCACCTTCTGGTAGATGTTATTTGGATATTCCAGGTGATCCTGTTTATCTAAAACCCTTAATGGGAGACCACTTGTAACCGGCATTGCACATGTGGTAGCAACCCTGATTCATTTTAACAATATACCTAGAGTAGCCTGGCAATCTACCTTAGTGATGTCCAAAGTGCCTGGACACAGTCCAAAACTGGATATACAGATAGAAAAAAATATCCTTTGGGTTTTCTTTGCAAAGAAAACAAATGTTACTTTAAAGGGTTAAACCGAGCATCATAATCACTACAGCCTTTTATAATAGTTATGATGCTAGCAGTACACTGGCTTGGTTCCCTAGTAATGGAGAAAACTTTTTTTTATTTTTTATTATTATTATTTTTTTAATTTATATATTTTTTTTTTAGCAATGGCTTGCCTTTTTGCTGGGGTCCAATGCTCTCTGGTGGTTGAGTGCCGTGCTTTCGGTTTCTGCAAAAGCCAGAAGCCGAGGCCATCGTCATTCATTGGCTCTCAGACAATAAACTGTCATTCTATGCAGTGAAAAAATTTACATGAGCCAGCCCGGAACTCTTGTTCCAGCTTGCTGATGACACCCCTGTAATGCTGCCGAAGGTGGAGTTACCTCTCTATACTTGCAGTGTTTCATATAGACCCTTCTGGCTTTTCATATTTCTGCTGTTTGTATATACATGTGTATGTCATTCGCTCCATGTGTTACTTAAAGGGGAGAAAAAGAATACCTTGCTGTAGATGATACTATCAAAAGCATTTTTTATTTAATTGCCTGTCCCTGACATTTTTTTTTTTTTTTTTTTTAGATTTCAGTAAATGCGGCCCACGTCAGCGCAGAGCTTGAACCTCCAGGAAGAGACAAAAGTGTTAGCACTGTCCGTCAAACTAGGAGAAGTAAAATGCAGCAGCAGCAGCAAAGGTATGACGTCGCTCCTCTGTAACCAAACTGTACGTAAGACTTGCAGGGCTCTTGGCTACTTTTTCAAGACGTAATCTATTGAACTCCATTTAAGTTCTAGACCACAAGGGGTCATTTGTGCTTTCTAATTTACTTGTCATGTCAGATTAGTATAATTATTATGTTGAAAATACACATAGATAATTTTCCATAGGTATTTGGTTTGCTGCTGTAGAATTGCTATTGAATTTCCATTCTTTCTCTCACCTGCAGGAAATTACAAGCTCCCGATAACACACCAGAAGAACAAAATATCAACTGGCCAAGGACCACTATTATACTGGAGCTGCTACAACACAAGAAGAAGATTAAAGACCCACAGCTCTTAGTGCCATCACTCTTTTACCTTCTCTCCAGGTATTTTTTAGTTTCTCATTTGAAATTAAAAAAAGAAATTGAATCGTTTCAAACTGTAATTCGATCATTCTATGTAGTTCATATTTGATATTAAAATTTAAATTGTAAATCACCTAACATTTCGTTTTTGTATTTTGTGTCCCTAGGTGCTTAGAAATTTCAGCTACTGAACAAGAGAATTTGGAATACACTAAGCAGTTGATTCTCAGCTGTCTGCTTGGCGTCTGTCAAAAGATTGTATCTGATGAGGAAAGAAACCCAAAAGGTGCGTATCTATTTACCAAAATAATTTTTTAGGCCAGGTCGCATGGCATGTATGGGTGAGGTGTAACGTTTGCAGAATGTATTGTAGAAAAATTATCAGGGTTGTGTATGTAGATCCGTCACTTTATACCATTTTTAGTGGTTATGGCACCAGGGTCTCTGTTGTGTCATACGTTGCTTAATTTGGTCCTCCGAGCCCCCGTGATTCTTCCAGTCTTCTGTTATATAACTAATGCCGAAAGCTTTAGCGATATTAATGTGGTGCTTCTTTGGACATCATGCATTGGGTGCGATTGTCAGCTTATGTTCTTAATAGATATTGCTAAAGCAGAATGGGAACTCCCACTTTAGCCATAACACAGAATACCTTTAAGGACACTGTGTTCTAAGAGGAGCCAAGTAATTCTCAATTTAAAAAAAAAAAATACAGTTTGACTTTTGTGTGTGTTGGTGCTTGGTAACGCCTGGCACAAAACAACACTACAGTATGTTGTTGTGGTTATGGTGCGTAGAGTGCCCTTTAACACGTTCATATCACAGACCAGATTCTCCATCAGCCCTTACACCTCCAATATCCCATTCTCTTCTTTGTGTGAATTAGCCAACTTTAGCCTTATGCTAATGTGTGCCCTATTGAGGAGATTATGATACCAATATCAAATCTGAGAAACTAGAGTGGGGATAGTTGTGGTATAAAATTGAGCAATGCGTTTAGATGCTGTTTTCTGAACCGTACATAGTCTGTCTATACAGGATTATACATTAAAGTGTGAATTATCATGAATTTAAAGTGAATTTAAAACTGCCAAAATGTCAAGTTTTTTTTTTTTTTTGGTTGTTTTGACCAAAATTTTAAATTAGGTCAATTTGAATTCCCAACAATTCATGCTTTAGTGAATAACCGCCTATAATCACACTAACTTTTAGAGAATGAAAACTCAAATTTTATTTTTGGGCAACTCATTTTTTTCTTTGTTAAAATTAAAAAGACATAATCTGCAATATTGACAAACATACATGTAAGAATATTTTTAGTGCCGTTCACAGAATAACCTAAAAATAACTTCTAATATATCCAACTTTTAGATGTCCTGGATGAGGAGAAATTCAATGTGGAGTTGATTGTGCAATGTGTCCGGACCTCTGACATGCCACAGACCCACCACCAAGCTCTGCTACTCCTTGGAGCTGCTGCTGGAATCTTCCCTGTAAGGATAAGCGACGTTTAGTTCATTATACATTACTTTGCCTGGTTAACAACCGTATAGCTTCGGCAATGTCAGAACTTTTTTTTTTTGTTGTTCTTCTATCTTAAATATTTTATTTTCAAGTCTTTTATTCTACTAAGAAAACCAAATTTCCGACTTGAACACAAGTGACCTGATACAATGCACCCCAACTCTGTTAAAGTCAGATTTTCCTAAAAATCTGACATGGTGGCACTACTTTTGTTTATCATGGAGACAATACTACTGCAATCCCTTCTGTTCTGCATTTATGAGCAAACTGTGATATTTCATGTTTAACATGTACTCTTACTCTCCCCTACAGGATAAAGTCCTGCACAATATTATGCCTATTTTCACCTTCATGGGAGCCAATGTCATGCGCCTTGATGACACCTACAGCTTCCAGGTCATCAGTAAGACTGTGCAAACTGTGATCCCTGCACTTATACAGGTAGGAGTGAATCTGTGTTGAACTTTTAGAATTTGTCTCCCATGTTTTTATTCTGCGCTTCATTTTTAATTTAGTTTAATTATTATTTTTTTTAATTTCATTTTTATTAAAGTTATTAACTTTTTAATACACCAAGTTGTCATACTCAGAATTAAGTTACCAAATATACAATTCAAACATACCTAACATATAGTTCCAAATAATTCAAAATAATAAACACAAATCTCACCTTATCATAAATGATTAAAACATTATATAATTATCATTCTTCATCTAGTTGTCAATATTTAGTCTTCTAACTAATACCTGCTTATCCTTACAGTTTGTATGGCTATATGTACTGTAACATAATGCAGTAGTAGGGGAAAAATTTAGTTTAGTTTATTAAAGGGACACTATAGTCACCTGAACAACTTTAGCTTAATGCAGTAGTTTTGGTGTATAGAACATGCCCCTGCAGCCTCACTGCTCAATCCTCTGCCATTTAGGAGTTAAATCCCTTTGTTTATCAACCCTAGTCACACCTCCCTGCATGTGACTTGCACAGTCTTCCACAAACACTTCCTGTAAAGAGAGCCCTATTTAGGCTTTCTTTATTGCAAGTTCTGTTTAATTAAGATTTTCTTATCCCCTGCTATGTTAATAGCTTGCTACACCCTGCAAGAGCCTCCTGTATGTGATTAAAGTTCAATTTAGAGATTGAGATACAATTATTTAAGGTAAATTACATCTGTTTGAAAGTGAAACCAGTGTTTTTTTCATGCAGGCTCGGTCAATCATAGCCAGGGGAGGTGTGGCTAGGGCTACAGAAACAAAGCGATTTAACTCCTAAATGACAGTGAATTGAGCAGGGAAATTGCAGGGGAATGATCTCTACACTAAAACTGCTTTATTTAGATAAAGTAATTTAGGTGACTATAGTGTTCCTTTAATGGCAAGATATTGCCTGTTGAATTTTTTCCCTTCAGTGTTCTTTTAACTTGTCATTGTCAACACACACATTCTGTTGTAGTAAGTAGATAGTAAGGTGATGCTTTTAAGGTGTTCTAATGTTTTCCATTGACACAGGCAGGTGAGGGAGCATCTGAAGAGGCCAGGGAGGATATGGAACAGGTGGTTGGAAACATTATCCATGTATTTGTGGATGCAGTTCCTCATGTCCCAGAACACCGGCGGTTACCTATTTTGTCACAGCTAATCAACACTGTTGGGCCAAAGAGATTCCTCTGGATGCTGCTTGTTTTTGTTTTCCAACAACATGTTACAAAAACTGTTACTATGGCAACCAATGGAGAAAAGGATGCAGTACTGGAGAGAGATACCGAGTTCTGGGTATCTATCTGCTGCGAATTTAGTGTCTACGATCAAATTGAAAGTTTGATCAAATTACTGCAATTCCTTAGCAAGCTGCCAGAAAATAAAGATGAAGGTAATTTTATGTATGAATATATATATATATATTGTTATATTGCGCTGAACTATTGCATAGCTTGCTGGAGATATGTTTAAAGGGACACTCCAGCTCGCTGTTGTACTTTGTGTGAGAAGCATCTCCTCTTAATTGCAGTTTATAAGTGCTGATTTCTATTTGAAATGGATGCTTGTAAACTAAAATTGGAAACGCCTTCATGGCTGTCAATCCATGAAGGTAATGGAAGCGGCAGCCACACTCTGCTAGAGCGCACCTACCTTCAATTTCTGGGTTGCAAATTTGGATTTCTGGTAGGTTTGGCCAAACCTTGCACCGTTAAAGGGACACTATAGCCTCCTGAAAAAGAGAAAATCACAGAATTAGTGTGTGTTATATTGGACTTTTTATTATAACACTGTACTCCTCCAGCACTGACATAGCTTCTTCTGCGCAGCCAATCTGCTTCTCTGATGTCATCAGGCTTGATGATGTCTTGTCCAATTAAATGCTTTTCATCGAGGAGCTTAAAATCCTATGAAATGCCTTGATTGACCATTCAACATCCTCATACAATGCGCGAGGAGATTGAATATCAGGAAGATGAAGAGGTCAGGGTGCTTATATTAAGAGATGAAAAAGGTGGAAATAGTTGTGGTTGAAAGATGAAATTGTAAAATATATAATAAACCACCAGATTTAAATATAGGGTAGGGTACAATTTATGTTTGTGTGTGTGTATAGACTTCATTACAATTTTCTGTTATTTTCTTGCAATTGCAGATGAGCACGAGAAAAAAACAAGTAAGGCACGGAAGCCAAAATCCCAGGTTCCTGAAGTGGATCTCTTTAACATGGAGACTCACTCTGCTAAGCAGCTTCGACATTTTAAGTTCCTGTCTGTGTCCTTTATGGCACAACTTTTAGCTTCACACAGTTTTGTTGGCAAGGTAAGCTCTGGCCCATGAAATACACAAACCCTAAATTAGATTTGATATATCCATTTATTAGTGTGCTTGTTATATTGTAAGCTCTTTAAATAAGAATACTCTCCCTTGCTTATATGTCACTTTACTTTTTAAAGAGCTAGTGTCACCTCCAACAATGTACATTGATCAGATGACATAGTGTACTTGGTAACGTTGCTTGTTTTAATCTGGAGATAACTGGTAGCACTCTTCCTAGTCTTACCTATAACAGGCACAAGTTATAAATAATTTGAAGGCCTATATTCTACAGATAATTTCTTCAACTATGTGTTATTGACAAATACCACATTTGTGTATATTTTTTTTTTTTTTTTTTTAAATGGAAAAATACGTTGTACATTGTTTATTTTAACAAGTCACGCTTCAAGCACCATCACCACTGCGACTCATTGTAATGGCTGTGCTGCATGGAAGTTATTTTTAAAGCCCCCATTTTCCCCACCTTCATCAAATTTATTTAGAGAATATTTTACCAGGATGGAAACATTGAGATTTATCTCATTTTCAAGTATGTCCTTTAGTTATAACTTGCTTGTAATTGATAAGTTAAGCCGGCTGCTTATTTTTATTCTCAATTTCAGGTTGTTGAATGTGAGTTTGCTGAAAAGCTGAAAAAAATGGAACAGAGGTAAATTTTAGTTTTGCTTATTTAATTTTTTTTCTTGATGCCTCTGGCGCGATTGCGTGACTCAAATCTCGTTCACATGTGACAGCAGTGTCCCAATGAATAACATATACTTTATTTTTGTTTTACTACTGTCAAATACGTCCTGCAAACATCTGTTCCCTGTCACTAGAGTTAAAACGTTGGTTTTATTTGGTCTCTGCGCAGGTTACTGGAAGATGTCCTCCATTATATCCACTTGGTTGCTGGTTCAGTGGAAAGCAATGCAGACAAACCCACTGCAAAGTTCTGGCGAGCTCTTCTCAATAAGTCCTATGAGATGTTGGATAAGGTGAGTTCTTGTTTTTCAGCATGGTCAGGGCCATAATGGATAATTGTCAGGGCCTGTTATCCATATAAAGAAAAAGTGTAATTGAAATGATTATCAGTAGGGACTGCGGATATGTTCCCCTTTTATTTGCATGAAGTATTATAGCTGATGGTGTTACCCATCACCTTTTAGCTCTACTAATGCGATTGACCATAAAGTGGGTTCAGAAGAAGCAATGAATGAAGTATTTTAAGGCCGAAACAGCAAAACAATAAAAAAAAACGCGTAACATATACTATCCGCAATCTAAACAGGCTGACATGGAAAAAACTATCCAAAATAGCCAGAATAGATGCAGATGAACTGCTTCAGGTCTGTGTCGCATTGACACATGGAGATTTATCACACCAGTAGGCTAATCTGCTTAAACTAGAGGCTTTCTTGTGCACCCCTTGAACTGTTGTCATCTCCTCAGTAAGAGACTGTGAGACCACTGTCACTTAAAGGGTACACCCAGGGATTCACCTCTTTATAGGTTGCTTTCTGGGTCGTCAGGGACAAGAGGTTTAAAAAAAAAAACTAGTGACCTGACGAAGGACAGGAAAGAAGAATGACTGATAAAGAGTGGGCAGTATTATTAATGTTCAAGTCTGTTATGTTTCCTGTCCTTTCTGTTGTGAAAGGAGGAGCTACCCACAAGTCATTGCTGCTATATCAGGAAAATGTCCTATACTTCTAAAGGGTTTCTAGATATCTGAGCTCCATCAACATAACAGAGTTTATCTGTGAATCTACGTGATTACTCTTCCAAGGTGCATGCAGTCAAAAATGATATAAAAGAACATCTTATATGGTTTTCGTTTTAAATAATAATAAATAAATAACCTCATAAATACCATTAAAAGCATAGGCCAAGCCAAGACTAACCAGTACACAAATATAAGTTCTGCACTCAGACTCCCACTACTCCTGGGCGGCAGCAATGACCAACCAGTGCCAAATGTATACCTTCAATTTGTTTTCGTTTTTTCTTTCTGTGGCCTTTTTTCTGTTTCTCTGATGTGGAACTTTTTTTAAATGATTGTTTATTTTTCAATAGTAATTAATGTCTATTTACTTCTTTCTGTTTGGATTTAGTCCAGTTAATGGCTTGTGTTGTTTATTATTATTTATTATTTTTTTTTACATGATTTTGTACTCAAAAGGTCAATGCTTTGCTGCCTACTGAAACATTTATCCCAGTTATACGAGGGCTGATGTCCAATCAGTTGCCATCGGTAAGGCGTAAAGCTATGGATCTCTTGAATAGCAAGTTACAGCACCGCACACAATGGCAGAGCGAACAGGTAAGAATCAAAATTGTCTAAAAGCCTTTTTCTCCAGAAGTATTTAGAACTCTGTAGGCCAGGCTCAAATTTTCCACTTGCTAGTAGCCATTGGTAAGTGAAAATTGAACTGTCGAGTATAAACTCACTCCTTGAGGATATGCTGTGGCTTCCAGTGGCAAGTAACTCTTTAGGCTTGACTAGTGGTATAAGACTACAAATGTTAAGCCTTGCTAAAGGTACTTATGATCATCATAGCATCAGCTGAAACTAGAAGTTACCTACATGTTACTTAGCCTTGTCATAGCTCTTCTCCTTGTACTTGCTATTTTGTATTAGGGATTTCTCTATCTTTTACATAAATGGTTATATGCTGCTCCTCCACAACGGAGTATTCTGTTGTTTTTATTACACAATATATCTGTGAACTGATAGATTCTGCCAAACAGTGTGTTTTTATAGCTTCTGTTTTAAGACACAAACTGAAAATAAAATGCTAACACAGATTTAAAGAGAACAAGAAAGCAGGTAGATGGTTTGTACAGTATATGTATCAACATCTCTTAAACTACCAACACTAGTCCAATTTTAGCAATATCCTTATTGGGAATACTTGGCCATTGCTATAATCATATAAAGAGGAGGAGAAATTAAACCGTGTTCTATTCCTGCTCATTTGCATCGTGAGCCATTTCTGTGCTTGGACTCAACTGAACTGTAATGTCACTCCCTAAATCTTTAATATAAACTTAAAAGAAATTTGAGTAATGCATTTCAATTCTTCATTACATCTTTTGTTTTATAGAAAAGTTTAGTAAACACGCATGGATAAATAAGTTGCTTACTTGTGTGTGTTTTTTTTTTTGTTTTTGTTTTTTTTTTTACTATTCTGTATTGTTGTGTACATGGTATGATTTTTTATGATTTTTTTTTGTTAGTCTTCTTTATGTAAATTCTATTTGTTTTTCTTTTGTATGATTTTAACAATTCTGGTACCTGATATATTAATGTCTGTCCTATTGTAGGTTGAGTTGCTACTAGGTCTCATTCAAGACCTTCTTTCCATTGTACGTCGCAAACCAAACGTAGAGGAAGAAGAGCAGGCGATCAATAGACAAACGGCCCTGTACAGCTTGAAGTTGCTGTGCAAATGCTTTGGCTTTCAGAGGCCAGAGGTGTTTGTTCCAGTACTAAATGCTGCTGTGGACCTCATCGCTCCAGATAGCAAAGAGGAGAGGAATGTGATGGGCAGTGCACTTTTGTGCATTGCTGAAATCACCTGCACCATAAAAGCTCTGGCAATTCCACAGCTTCCCAGGTAATTTCCACCAGGCTGTCTGTAGACAACACTCCTTTATTTGAACTTTCCATTTTTCTATACGGATTTAAACTCCAGGTAGATCACTAAATCAAAAATGCAGACCTTCACGGGGGAAAATAAAGGGTGCAATTAAACCCACGATCTGTCCAAACGTAATAAATATAGCCAGCGTTTTTATTTGTGGTCCTTTTTTTATAAGTTTGTTAAGGTTTTTTATTTTTTTTATTTTATTAATATTATTGCTTATGTTCTCAGCTTCGTTAATATTATTATTACTATTGTTTCTCTTTTGGCGAACCCTAGTAAGAAAGTGTTATCGTGGCCCTTTAAACACCTTCATATCTATGTAGTTGCAAAAAAAGTGCCTCCATCTTGGCTTTTTGTCAACCAGCAGCGTTTGCACCTTACTTTCAGCTTAAAGATATCTATGTATACATGCATTAAATATCTTCAGGGAGGCCACTATAATCAATGTGGAGGAATAGAGGTAGAACAATGGTCCCCCTAGGATTGCATTTACATTTTTCTGTCCTCTACTTTGTCCTTTATTATAGGGGGTAAGGGTATACCTGTTGAATAATAAGGGGACAAACAGAAATAATAATAATTTACTTGGTTCAGTCTTTGATGATTGACAATAGCACTAGTAGCTCCATTCCGATATCCCAGACATTAGATGTGCACATGTTCATTCCTACTTATTCTGTAAATTCTTTGTCGTCTTTATTGCAGATTGATGCCAACACTATTAACCACGCTAAAGGACAAGAAGGAGCTTCTCAGTAGCGAGATTCACTTGCTGAGCACAGTGACGGCACTACAGAAAGTAGTAGACACCTTGCCACACTTCCTCAGTCCATACCTACAGGACTGCTTAATGCAGGCAAGTATGAATAGTGAAACATTGTTCACATGTTTCTATACATTCTATAACTGTGACAGGAAGGGAATAGAAGGAATGTGCTTGACTGACGTATAATCTGGAAAGTAAATCTCACAAACCTAATAAAACTTGACAAATGTGCTGGGAAACAAAAAACCGAGCTTTTGCGAATGTGTATATGTTGTATGTATTGATTTTCTGTTCATATCCAACTGATGGGTTAAAACATCTTTCTCTTCCTTAGCCGGCCATAGAATCATGCTAGGTTAAATGAGTAAACATGTCGAAGCAAACACGTTTATTCGAAATTCGTTTTTGTTGTAAACACATGGGATACATCTACCTACAGGAAAATAAGGCTAGACATTGGATTTGTTTCATTTTAGATTACATAAACATTTTCTCAACGTGATTAAAGCGGTGTATTCCAGTAAATAAACAATACACTTTTACCCATAAACCAAGGGACTGTTTTTCTAGCAGTTTTGTTTTTCTTCTTCATTAACATTCAACAAAAAGCATTAACATGGCGTGTTCAAGGCTGCAGGCTTTGTAACAATAACCCATTGAAAGAAGAACATTATACTTTAGGGCATTGCTTCCCATTAGTGACAAACATATGTTAGCTTATAAATAACCATTTCCCGAATGGAAGATACATGACTTTTATGTAGCACTTAATACATTTAAACTCTATTTTCATATTCTGTGTGTGTATGTATCTGTGTACATAATAAATATATACATATATATAACAGAGAGAGATTGAATCTCTAATTGAAAGAGAATCTGTGCTCATTTGGCCGGTAGTGCTATAAATGAAGTAAACAAGCCTCCCAATGCACCCATTATGCCTCTCCTGAATTTAGAAATAGAAAATGGCTTTTCTTCTATTTGCTGCAAGGTATGCCAAAGGTAACATTCCACCTCCTGAGAAACTACGGCTCCCATGCTGCATTGCCATCCTTAAGTCTGTCAGAGTATCATGGGTGTTTTAGCCTTGCATGTTGTGGGGTCACCTGCTGGTCATCCCTGGATTACATTCTACTCACAGTTTTCCTCATGTTCGGCAAATAAGCTTTGTGCTCATGAACTAGCACCCACAATGCACCTGTCCATATTCATAGATACATTGTATTACATTATATTTTATGTTTATTTACTATGTGCCGAAGTTTCAGGACTCTTGCTTTGACATCTTACATCTTTCTGCTTTTAGGTCCTGTATCATAACATTAGCCTTTAGATCTCATGACTCATGCCTTTATTTTAATATTTTTTTTTATTTTGTATTCAGGTTGCTCGACTTGACAGGATTGCCAGTAAGGTTGGACCAACATCTCAGTTATCTGCAAGAGTGACCACACTAAAAACTACTTTCGCGACCAAGCTTCCAACAAGGGTTGTTCTCCCTGCAGTCAATAAGTCCTACTGCCACATCGCCGACACCCAGCAGGTGACATTCCCTCTGTTTTTTCAGATTTATTTGATATTTAAAAAAAGGCAGTGTCAGTCAATTATCAATACAGAATTTAACTTGTGAGATGCATACTTTTAGGTGAATTCTCAAGTTTAAGGGTACAGTCACTATAAATTTTACACTAGGTGTATATTATCGTTTTGGAACATGGTGAAGGTCTGAGTCTTTCTCAAGGGCACTTGAGAAGCTGACCTGCTTCTATCTTTTTTTTTTATAAATTCTTTATTTTGGAATTTCAGTTATATGGGGGGTAGGGTACAGAAAAGAAAACTTGGGATAAAGTATACTTTCATAGAGATCATGAGTTGCTTTGATGTGTTACAATGCTTTCAAAAAGGTAGGGTAGATATATAATTTTGTTCTTTACCTGGTGCTCTCTTTCGCTAGTGTTGTGATGATGCGGTTTCAACTCCGGGAGAGAAGTTGGAATCTTATTCGTAGATGGTTGTAGCACTATGTTGCAGTATGTGAAGTTTTAGCGGGTATAGCACATCTGTTTTTGGTTCAGAAGTTACCTGGTTGTGTGCGTATTACGTCTTTCGGTTCAATGTTTGGTCGGTGTGTTTATGAGGTTTTCCTCGGGGGGAGTAAGAAGTGGTATTGGGGGGGGGGAGGGTGGGTCTGGTGGGGGATTTGGGTTTCTTGCCGGGTGAGTAGGCCTGTCATCTCTTAGTGTCTTTTAGTTTGTGGGTCCTTGGTGCGTGGGCGGTTCTGGCCTGGAGTCGGCCGTGGTCTGTCCCATGGGCTTTTAGTTAGGGACTGCAGGGGCTGTCGCCCAGGGTTGGGTGTATTGGTCAAGGTCTCGGTGGGTGTTCCTTGTTCTGTGTGTGGTGTGCGGTGGGTAGTCTCTGTTGGCTTTGTCTGAAATGCTTATTTGCGCTTTGTGTCTGGGGTTGTGAGTTCCGTCAGGGGTGGTCTGGGGGTTCTTCCCTCCTGTCGTGTTTGCGTGGTGTGGTGTTCGTGATAGGTGCGTCCAGGGCCCCTGTCTGGGTGGTGGTCTATGCTGGAGGTGCTCTGGTTAGAGCTCTTGTTTGCGTTGGCTGAATATTTCGTATGTCCTTGTTTGGTTAGTGTTCGTGGTCTGGTGCTGGCGGGTTTGGGGTGGTTCATGGGGATCAGTCTGTTTTGGTGTTGTGGGAGGGGAGGGTTGTGTGTGGTGGATCTAGTGTAGGGTGGTGTGACTGTGTTTGTCTAGTGTGGTTGGGGTGAGCGGTTTGGTTGTTTCTTGCTGTGGGGATGGGGGTTCCGGGAAAGGAACATTTTGGTTGGGGAAGTGTGGTTCCCGGGACGGCCTTTGAGGTTTTCCCTCCTCGGGGGCCACCCCCCGCCTGGTGCATCCCTTGGCAGTAAGTGCCTTATATTGTTGGGAATTCGAAGATCCATGGTTCCCATATCTTGTCGAAGTGTCTAGTGGTATCATGTACCAGGGCGGTAAGTTTGTCCATCTTCATGGTTTCATTAATTTTTCGTTGGATGAGCGCTACGGGTGGGGTGTCAGGGCTTCCCCATTTCTCCGCGATTGCTCGCCTAGTGCCAGTTTGGCTATCAATTTATTGTGTGCCCTTGGGGTGTCTCGGAGGGGCCTGGAAAGGAGCCACAGCCATGGGTCCATCGGGATAGTGGTGTGTAGTGCCTGTGATGCCAGTTGCGCTATATGGTGCCACACCGTGGCTACTCGAGGGCACTCCCACCATGTGTGTATGAAGGTTCCCCTGTTCCCGCACCCCTTCCAGCAGAGGTCGTTGTCGGATTGTTTCATTTGTTGCAAACGTAGTGGAGTGAGGTACCATCGGAAAAGAGTTTTATACGCTTGTTCTTTATGATTCCTGCTTCTATCTTTTAATGCACACATTTGAATACAATGCATAAATGATGTCAGTGCTGTATCTGAAAGGATAGATGGTGGTAACAGGGTAAGCTGTAAGCTCAGGAGCCGGTCTGGTTTTTGGTTTTGTGTTTTCTGTTTTCCAAATATTTCTTGTGTTTTGCTATGTGCAGCATAAATACTTGGGCTCTCTGATGGATATTCTGCGCGAACACATTGCGGTAATGGACAAGCAACAGCTGACTTCTCACCAGTCCGAGCTCACCACGTTCTTCATGAAGGCTCTGGATTACCGCACAGAGCATAGTCAGGTACTATTTAATTATCATTCGTTACTCTGTCCAGTTTGTAAACATTGTACAAATGCACCACAGAAAGATAGAAGTGTAAGGTTAAAGACAATGCAACATTATGTATTGGACGGTGCACCAGCAATGGCTATCTATGTTAAGGCAAATGTTTGCGCCTTCGTTTGATCGAGTTACATAAATCCATATTCTTCTGTGTAAATGGAAAGTTTAAATAGAAAGTTGAAATAGAAATGTATGTAGGGCCAAGGATAGCCATCACAGCTCTATATGAAGGAATTCATTTGAATGCAGTTGGAATGGCAAAATTCAACTCACTGCTGAGAGATATATGATGTACATAGGATTCGTCACTGCTGTACTATTGTTTCCTATACTACAACTTTATAACCTCTTCTCTACAGGACGATCTCGAACACGTGGGCCACACTGAAGGCCATATCATTGACTGTCTAATCAACATGGTGATGAAGCTTTCTGAGGTGACATTCAGACCACTCTTCTTCAAGGTAAGACTTGTGCCATGATATACTTTGATAGCTAGTAAATCTGCTGTTTGCAAGTAAATAACATGTTCCTCTTTACTTGCAGCTATTTGATTGGTCCAAGACAGAAGGCTGTTCAAATGACAGGCTAATAACATTCTGCCGTTTGTCGGACTGCATTGCAGACAAGCTGAAGGGACTATTTACTTTGTTTGCTGGTCATCTTGTGAAACCATTTGCTGAAATTCTAAATCAAACAAATGCAGTTAAAACTGGTAGGTCTATTAAATAGTAAGTAAAATAAAATTAGTCTCACTAATTTGGCAGTTTAAATGGTGGTGCTAGGGTGTATTTTATACATTTATGCATTGATTTTTTTATTTTTCATGGAGTATGCATGTTTCAAGAGTTCTCTATAAATGATCAGCCCCAGCATGTCCGAGATTTTTATTTATTTATTCTGATTTGTAAAGCCCTGAGACTATGCATTTTGTTATAAATGTTTTTCAATGTAATCTTTCTAGCTAGTATCCGTTAAAAAATTTTTTACTTCAATTATTCAAGACAAATAGCTGCTGTTTAACCGATCAATAGTGCAGAATACTTTTTTATCTGCACAAAAACACAATGCCTAAATGGAATATTACAGCACTCCGCAAGGCATGGGAATGGTTTTATTTTTTTTTATGCAGTAGTATACAATTTTCATTCTATCACTTTATTGAAAAGCACACTATTCGGTAAATAAAAACTTGGTTAAAAATAATGAATTTTGAGTTGGTAAACTGCATCCTTACTTATCTTGTTATAACCATGTATTCATTTTCTTACCAGATAAACCATTTTTCAATACAGACAACAATGTTGAGAAAAGTGGCCTAATCCTGGAGTTCGTCTTAAACTGTTTGCACAAAATCTTCTTGTATGATACCCAGCGTTTTGTGAGCAAGGAAAGAGCAGAAGTGTTAATGATGCCTCTGGTTGATCAGGTATGCCTCTTTCTCTTTGGATAACTGCGTGTACACAATCCAGCTAATCCGTATTTTAGGACTGGGGGAGCATAATCAATTTTAATAAATTCTGTCCAGTACTTGTCAATCTGAATGCCAATTGTATTCTTTCCTTGTTGTATTTTGAAATTTGCATCCAAATATATAAAACGATTTTGACTGCTCGACTATTCAATTACAGCTGATGACAGTTAACCTCTTTCAATTCATCCTTGCAAGATGATCTGTAAAATACATGCCGTAATCCATATTATGCATACTTTATCCTCTTATTAGCTTGAAAACACACTTGGAGGAGATGAGAAATTCCAAGCAAGAGTGAGTGGTTGTCTTGTCCCCTGTATAGCTCAGTTCTCTGTTGCAATGGCGGATGACTCACTGTGGAAACCTCTCAACTATCAGATACTCCTGAAGATGCGCCACTCCTCTCCCAAGGTTAGTAAATCACTGTATGAAAGCTCCGTGTTCACAATGTAAATGCAATATTGGTTAGAAAGGTTAAACAATTGGTACTGGAGACAGGGTTTGAGAAAAAAAAAGGAACCCAATGGACTGTTCCTGCTGATTGCCAACTCTAGTTTTAGTTATCTGTGCATTTTTCCATAATTCGTAACAGAATACACTTGTTATTATTGAAATGTTTTGGAGGCTTTTTTTTTTTTTTTTCTTATTTTTTTATCTTTCTTTTATCTTGTGTGATCATTCGTATTCAGTATAGTTCAAGTTCCAGCAGTGATGCCAACATCAGCTAATGACATTTTTCTATGAAACACGATATAATGTAATGTTTTCTCCTCCCTGTGGCTAGGTTCGATTTGCAGCATTGCTGGCGTTGGTCGACCTTGTTGAAAAGCTAAGAGAGAACTACATGGTGCTGCTCCCAGAAACAATCCCTTTCCTGGCAGAACTCATGGAAGGTGAGGATTCATGCAGAACATGCTGTCCATTATTGTATTGGACATTTCATGCTTTCAAACCCGATGCAACTGCTCTCCTCCTGCGTGCCTTATCTCGGTTCACCCTATGCTTGCAGTTGTGGGTAAACATATGTAAATTTATGCCAAAATCTGCATGGTTAATATGGATTTCATAAATTAACCACGTGATGTAAAATATAAAAAAAAACAGTCAGCTATGCTTTAGGAAAACAATCATGGCATTTTGAGGTCGTAAAGAAATCCTAAAATACTGATCAAATATTGATGCACTTGTTTTTAACTGTATTGAATTTGAACGCAATCCCTGAACATGTGTTTCTTTGTAGATGAAGAGGAAGAGGTAGAACATCAGTGCCAGAAGACAATCAAACATCTTGAAACTATTTTGGGAGAATCACTTCAGAGCTATTTCTAAGTGAAGAATAAGATGACGAAGAACAACCTACAACACATATTCACACAAAAGCTGTTGGAACATAACTGAATAATTCTTTCATGATGTTCATATGGAATTTTGTTTATATCGATATTTTGTACATTAGACTTGAAGTTTTTCCCCAATTTCTGTCAGTTAAATGCGTGAAAGAAGTGCAGAACTTAAAATCTCAATTTAATTTCTTCCCCCAAAAGTGGACAGTTTATGAACCAATCTGTGAAAGTGTGAATTTTCAGGAAGGTTCTTTCAAATTTGAAGCAACACTGGAAAAATTCCGCTCAGTTTTTGGTTAAGCAATTTTGACCTACAAACTTAAATTCACTTTGAAGTCCAAACATAGTCTAGTTTTCAGTAATAACTGCGCTGGCGTCCAAACATCCCTGAGGCATGCAAAAAAACCTATGGGATCCTTCAATGCTTGTGCAGGAAATCCTGAGTGAGGTTAACCTCATTTCTAATTTTGGGATTAATAACGAAATTCCAACATCAAGTAAATTGAAGTCTAAATCTCAAAATTAAGGCTGAAATAGTCAAACAGTGGCTGTCTAACCTGGAAAATTCTGTAGTCAGCTATATTTTTGGCAAAATGTTGCCATTAGGATTTCACCTGATGTTTGGCTTCACCTGGGATCTGGGAGTATTTGCTAGGAAAAGTAGAGCGTCAGCCGCACACTTATACTGTGTGTGTATAGATGTTACGCTTTACTTTTGATTCGAATATGAATTTGAAAGATTATAAGATTTATAGAGATTTTTTAATCTCTTTAAGCTTTGTACATGCATGAGTATGTGGGTTTTTGTAAATGATTACATTCTCATTCTTTATAGTTTAAAAAGGGCTTTTTTTTTGTACAACAATTTAAGATTAGCAGATATTATGAAGATATTCTCTAATTTGTTATATTGTATACCCTGTATGAAGGAGCTAACAGGAAGGACATGTGTATGAAGGGGTTAAACATGTAAGCAGATGGCATCTAAACAATTATGGTTTCCCGGAGAGCTTATAGGAGGGGGTGGGGTGTCCAAGAAACTCCCTAAAGGAGTACTGAGATGGTGATCTAATCGCTAAACGGCGACTGGAGGCAACTTGAAAACAGGATTTGCAAAATAGTGGAATAAAAAAAATAAATTAAAAATCCAACTCTTAAAATTCCAGCTTGAACATTTTATTCTACATTTTGTATATTTAGCAATGGATTTATTATTTTTGACAAATTCTGCTCTACATGCCTTTTCTCTTACTCTGTCTTTGAAAAAGTTTAAATGGATTAGTATAGAACTAGTATACGCGATTTTAACTAGGTGTTCATTGATCCTAATGTCTTTATTGGCATCTGCTAGTAAGCAAAATCCACACGGTGAGCAAGCACATTGAAGTTGTGAAGATAAACGATCTATCCAGAAGAGGGCAGTGTTGGTATACAAATGAAATGTTTTTCGGTAACCTGTTATCGTTTTAAACTCTTTATATTAAAAGAAAACTAGCCCTAGTGATTTTCTTTTCTTTGCTTTCAGACGTCAACATGTTGTCTTAGCTTATCCTGTGTAAATAAATATGTGATGTAAATTGTTCCATTATCAAACTTAATAACCATAATGCACCACTTTTTTTTGTAGCTTGTCTAAACTAATTAGACTGTAAATACATTTTGTACAATGGGTCAGGTGTTTGAGTTATAGTACACTCTTCTGTCTGAGTTGCCTAGCAGTTCCCAACCGTAATACCTGTTTGTGCTTATGAATCTTTCCTATATACATAAATGGTATTGTAGAAGCACATAAGATAGTCTACTGTATCAGTTGTGACTTTATATTTTTGTTATAAGTCTTCTATTCCACCGAAAGCCCTTCTAGAGTTTATTTCCTGTCTGAAACACAATACGAAAGCAAATCACCTTGTGAATGCAGGGGAATCCCAGAAAGGAAGTATACCGGCTGTTTTTTCTTCTTCTTCCCAAAGCCAGGTCTATGTACTGAAACTGGACATCTTGCAACCAGGGCACTCAACTTCTGTTTCCTCTGTCCATTATAAGACCAATTTCCAATGGAAACAGGCAAAACTACACTGACACCTTATGAATAGCCAGAATATGCCCCAAATAATCCGGGTAGTTGCTTGGATTTTGAAGTCTATGGCCACAGCCACGTAGCGTATTCATTGAAAGGCTAATGTAATATGTTCCTTGCTGTATAATTGTAACACTTCCAATTAGCGAAGTCTCCATTTACTTAATAAGGCTTGTTTAAACATCTAAGAAATAGGTTGTTGCCTCTCTTGCTACCAAACAGTGGTAGAGGTGCCACACTAGCATAGGCTCCAGTCTCTAAACCACGAGACAAAGCCAATGCTGGGCTCTATACAAGCACGCATCCATAAAGGGTCCTTGCACAGGTGTGGGGAAATTCAAGACCTATATATATACAAACACACTACTTGGAGAATAAAATAGGAAAGGTCACTATAATCAACAATAATCTCCAGATACTGCTCTAGAGGGTAACAAGTTGATGCGCTACACTGCAAAAGTTCAGACAAACCTTGACCTTGAGTTAGTCCCCTGCTCAGGTCTAGAAATTTTTGCTTAATTGTGCCATTACAGAGAGACCCTATACCAAGAGTAGACAACTTTCGGCACTCCAGAAGTTGTGGGAAAATGGCAAAGCATTGTGGGAGATCTGGATTGCCAAAGGTTGCATACCCCTTAACTAGACCATTGATTATCAGAATGATCCTGTCCAAAGGGCATTTCAGATCTGAAAAGTCTGACCAGTTTTCTCTGAATGCAAGATACAGCAACCCCATGCATTGGGGCTCGTCAGTGAGGTGTTGCTGATTAGAGATAGACTGATTATCATTAGGCAATATTTGACATATTTCTTGAAGTCTGTATCTGTCTTGTAATTTACCAATATTACTGATAACTTCCGATCACCACGCGCCTCAAAAATATTTTTGAGACCTGAGCAGGGACTAACCTAAGGGCAAATTATTGAGGTTTCTCTGAGCTTTTGCTGTTTTCATATTATTTTGTTTTAATCCTGTACACACAAACTGGTAGTTATAGAAGGCAGGCCATGCTGAAGTTATGAGAGCTACAGGAAAAAAGGTTATGTGAGGTACAGGAAACGTTCCCAAAAAGTATCCTCTTTCTCTTTATGTGGAGAAGATACAGGTGATACTCAAAAAATTTGAAAGTTAATTTATTTCGGTAATGCAACGTAAAAGGGGAAACTAATATATGAGATAGACGCATTACATGCAGAGCAAGATAGTTCAAGCCATGATTTGTCATAAGTGTGATGATTATGGCTTACAGCTCATGAAAACCCTAAATCCACAATCTCAAATGAACATTTGCACGATGTTCTAATTTTTTGAGTATCACCTGTACATTTAGACTTACCCTGGCCAGAACTACTAATCAATCTCATGCATTGACCAAGGTGCTTTTTCACAAGTTGCGTTTCCATAATAATAGGGTGAACGCAAAACAAGCATCCTCTATATACTCAATATGTGAACATCTGAACTTTTGCTCACCAAGCAATGACATGTCTGATTAGGCAGAAATAATTCAGAAACTGAGTCCTTTTATATGATTTGTGTACATCTAGCAGGTAACTCAATGCTAATGACGCTGGAAGCATGTATTATAACCCTCCCCAAGCCTGAGAAAGCATCTTATAGGGCGCAGGTGTAGGCAACCTTTGGTACTCCAGATGTGGGCTAAATCTCTCCTGATGCTCTGCCAGCATTAAGACTATAGGAGCATAATGGAAGATGTAGTCCACATCATCTGGAATGCCAAAGGTTGCTTTTGGCTATTTTAGGGCACTTGCAACTTTAAACCTACCTCCCTCCTCAGTATAGCTACTGTGTTATATGAAAGAGATGTTACTTGAGTATCGGCTTCCAATAGGTGTTTTTTAATACCAGTTCTTACTTTGTACTCAAGCTTTCAGCAATGATCTATTCATATATGTTTGTTTTTGTTTTGTTTTTTGGTATTTAAATGTTGCAATGGAACTTGTCAAGACTGTATGTTACCCTGTTCTTTTTTGTTTCATTGCTAGAATCTCTAGCTTAAAAATTAGTCATCATCCCAAATAACAGGTATCCTCTGCAACTCACTCACTATTACAATTTGCCAACAACCTAAAATCCTTGCCAAAGGCACTGAGGTCCTTTAAGTGAAATATTTTTGCAGAATAATAAGAGGAGTTTATATAAAGAGGTTCAAAAACATATTTTCAAGTACAACTTTGGAACTCTGTTTTTATAGAATGTAATGTTTGATTACCAATATTATACCATGATAGAATGAATACCATTCACATCATTTAGAGGGTTTATTCACTAAACCATTATTTAAGTGCAGAGTGTAAAAACATTTTTCTGCATTTTGTGTACTTGACAAATTAATCATTTGTAGAGGACGCTCAACTTGCTCCAAGTTGATGCTGTACTGGATTGATGGAAACCTTGATTGAACTTGTCTAAAGATTTCCTCAAGTTTAAAACCCAAAGTAAATAATGTTTTTTACGCTCAAAATCTCATCACCTTCCGGTACAATATGTAAACTTAATGAACAAGAAACGACCCTACAGATTGTAAATTGGACATTTTCTTTTTGTAGGTAGAATGTGACATTTTTAGCGATAGTGAGAAAATACTTGTGACACAATATTAAAAGGACAGCGTGGGCACCATACCAATTTTATTGAAATTAAGTTGTTATGGTGCCAGGTGCTACCATGCCATTAGGGTTGAAACTGCTCACAAATTGTTTAATACCAAAGGTGGCAATCCGTCGTTCCTCGTTGTCCCTATTTACATCCGGTTTCTGAAAATCAGTTTGGGGAAGCATGGTTTGCCGCTGATTGGCTTAGATCGGTCAGTTGACGTACGTATCTTTTTTATGGGGAGCTAGTGTTTGGCTTAAAGCGTCAACTGAGCAGAGACATCTCAGATTAATATATGATTAGTTCTATTCATTTCTGCTCTGAATGTATTGGATAAAAGTCTGTTCATCTACTTATATAGTATTGAATATTGCACTTATCACCACTCTGAGGTTTTCTGGTCACTCCTATGATTTTCAGCAGGTAAATTGTGAATATGTCAAATTCTTTGTGTTATGCCTGTCGTTAAATTTATCTCCTACTAAAGGGACACTGTAGTCACCAAAACCTCTTTAGCTGAATCACGCCCTGCAGTCTTACTTCTCAATTCTCTGCCACTTAGGAGTTAAATCACTTTTGTTTCTGTTTATCCAGCCCTAGTCATACCTTCCCTGACCGTGACTGACAAAATGATTTCATTTTCAATCAGATGTAACTAACTTTAAAAGTTTTTATCTCTTGCTCTGTAATGGGAACTTTAATCACGTACAGGAGGCTCCGGCAAGGTCTAGCAATCTATTAATAGAGCAGGGGAAAAGAAATTCTAAATTAAACAGGCTGTGCAATAAAGGAAATGTCTAAACATTAGAGCAGGTGGATACCCAGATAATGTAGAACTACAACTCACATGGTGTGTTGCATGCCTTTAGAATGAAAAAAGCATCATGGAAGCTGTAGTTTTAAAACATCCTAGGATCTACCTATTGAGCACCCGTGCTTTACAGGAAGTGTTTAGGAAGGGTGTGTAAGTCACATGCAGGGACAACAAAGTGATTTGACTTAAAAAATTGTGCAGGGGCATGATCTATAAACCACAACTACTTCTTTAAGCTAAAGTTGCTTTGGTGACTATAGGGTCCCTTCAACCCCTTAAGGACCAAACTTCTGGAATAAAAGGGAATCATGACATGTCACACGTCATGTGTCCTTAAGGGGTTAAAGCTTCACAATATCACATGGTTTGATACTCCTGTCAACACAATATGTTACAGATGCTAGCAATTCTCTTTGTTGCCCTTTTGTAATCTTGCACCTTGCAAAGTCTGCTGAGATGATTCTTTGTCATTGCCTGTTGACATCCATATAGAGCCTGCAAGAAAACCCACCGGGAGTTCAGGGTTTTCTCTGAGCATTCATCTGTTTAGTTTATGCCACATTGGTTCGGTAGATTGAAACTACCGAACACAGACCACCCTCCTGGCTCATTGACTAAAAAGGAGCCTGTCAATTAAGCACTCTCTCAGGGTGGCCGCCATTCGTATATACGAATGCCACGTGGCGGAGAAAACGGCGGCCATCTTGTTTGTTCTGGACTTGGTCGTCGAGTGTCTGGAACTAAAATCGGACACTCGACTTCGCGAACACCGGTCTCAAACATATGAATGATGGAACTGTGTTTCCCGAACAGCTAGGAGAACGCTTTTCGGTACTTTGATGAGTTTTGGGGAAAATGTGTGCACTTCGCCTGGAGATAATTCGGTTATTCCTTAACTTATCTCATTATGTCACAGGAGGAGACAAGGAGTGTTTAAGTGTAACTGTACCTTATGATTGGCTATTTAGTTTGTGTACTGTGGGAGGTCCTCCTGCAAGGGGACCTCCATAAAAGCCCGTGTGGTCTCAATAAACATCAGTCTTGTTACACCCTTCATCATGTTTCGGCTGGTGTTTGGGTACCTGATTACTACTTGGGGAAAGCTGTACTAGAGGATTTCGTTTCTTTGGACTTTAACTACCGGCCAGAAGAACCGAACGGCGAACTATAATCACCCAGGCTCTCAGCCGTTCGGCTCAAATCAGCTAGATTCAGGACTGTTGGA